CAGCACCAAGTCATTCGTGACTTGGTGCTGATTTTTTGCTTTTGACAAGTTCTTCATTACGCGAACGAAGAATCATTCCAAATCATGGCGTGTGGTTTGGCGCTGACTTGTCGCCAAGTCATCCTGACTTGGCTTTCTGCGGCTGAAATGGTCCACTTGATTTCCACTTCCTTCTGAGTTGTCGTGCGTTCCAACCGAAAAGCCCCTTTGTCCAAATTCACATTTCAATTGCCAATGAATGCACTAAATAATGTTGAAGAAACTCCATAGGGAGTAGTCGAGATTTCGGACAGGTGTCCGAAAAAGAAGACGGAATCCTCGCACGGCTGTACGCGAGCGTCGAGATAGGATTCTTCCATTGTGCGAGCGACACTCCAATCCCCCCAGATGCGAATGCGGTAGGAAGGAACTCCTATTGCAGCGCATTCCGATGCGGCACCCATGCGAAGCGAGTGTGAGGACCACAGCACTTGCGGAGGGGGAGTGACGCCAGCGTGAGACAAGCAAGCTTGGAGCCAACGTGAGATGCTTGCCGATGACGGTGTGAGCCGTTGGCCCGGGAGGGCCCAATAGTAGCGACTTGTGGAGCGGGTGTTTCGGCGGTACCGGTCGTACCGTAAGACCAAGTCGATGAGCGATGGCTTGTCAGGAGCTAGCCTAGTGTAGGATAGAGTATGTGCCACGCGAGATCGATTCTTCCGTAAAGCAATTGCCAAGTCAATTGATTGTTCCGAAACTTGAATGTTGTCCAAGCGAAGCGCAGCGCCAGCTTCGCCCCTTTTGAAGAAGACGTGGGAAACCAGAACAGCGGTAGCGTTGCGAATGAACTGACGGTTGAGAGCGGGAGCGGCCATTGCAGCGTTGAAGATTTTCTTGGCCACGGGGCTCGGGAGGGCCCGTCGTTCCTTGTGTGCGTCTGGGTCGTTTTCGGCGCGGCGATCCAGGTCAGACTGTTAGTAGGCGGCCAGCGCGAGTTGGATGAGTGGGGTGTATCCAACGGGCAATTTGACGCGTTTGTGGGCCGTTACCACTGCGGAGACGTAATTCTTGACTGATCCGCCAGCAATCGTGCCTGAGTCGAAGAGCCAACCGAGGTACCGGAGCAGAGATCCTTCATCCGCAGCCCATGGGTCGATCCTTTCCAACGTACAGAACGTAGTCCACTTCTGCCAGAATCGCTCATTGTTCTTCCAGGTGTTGGCGCACGAGCGCGGTGAATCAGACCAGCGATAGTAGTTCCTCCGCCTGAGATTCCAACTCCGGCGGCGCGTAGAACTGAGCCCCGTAGCGCGGCGGCTAGCGGAAGCTGCTGCGTATTGTTCAGATGGCTATTTTCCACGGTGGGGCCGGCAGGTGCTGTGGGGCCCACAATGGGGGTAGATGGACGTCTGGCGCCTGAAACAGCTGAAACGTTCCGATTTCCTTGAGGCGACGACACCACGACTGAGCGGGCCACCACGGGGTGACCAGGAGACCCTGTGCCGTTTCCTGGATGATCTTTTCCACGACGAGTGGGATGAGCTTGAGCGGGGGATTCCAGAAGTTGATCGTTTGTCCCCAGTGTTGCTGTAGCGCATCGATTCCTGAGGATCCCGGTGAGCGGTAGCGGCTGTTGAACCGGCGGCAGATCGTTGATTCTTGATCCGCGAACCGGTTGATTGTTGGATCCATCTCGCGTAAGAGCGCCCTGATTGTCCGGGTGTTGATCCTCCAGTCGTCCAGTGAACGCAAGCGAGAGAGGCGATCTGCGAAGCGGTTGACGGCAGAAGGGACGTATCGTGACTCGATTGAGATTCCCAGCTTGAGTAGTACCCTGTGTAGCGCCCGCAGTTCCTTCATTAGGGCTGGTGAGCGCGTGGTCATCGTGTTGAGTATGTGGACCACGGCCTGATTGTCCTCCCATACGCGGAGATGGGTCCCCTTGCGAAGGTCGTCTGCGAATGCCTTCAGATTGTCCGTTACTGCCCGGAGTTCCAGAAAAGTGATGGGCTTTGTCCGCAGATGCGGATCCCAGAGGCCTTTCGCTTCCCAGACCCCTGGTTCCCCCATCCTGAGGTCGTGTCCCAGTGTCCCTCCCATCCCAATGGGGGTTGATGCATCGGAGTGCATTGCCATTGAAGCCGTTTGGTGATGGAGAGGGCGCGTAGACGGTGATTTGACCAGTTCTTTCCAACGTATCAGATCCCGGATGGCTGCGTGCTTGAGCTTCACGCGCCGCTTCGTTGGTCCCCGTAGTGAGTCGTACAGAGACCGGGTGTAGAAGCGGGCGAGAGGCATGGCCAGCGAGCATGAGATGGCCATCCCGAGGAAGTGGCGTAACAACGATGTTTCCACCAACCGACGGTTCTGTCGGGCTTGTTGTAGCAGTTTCCGAGCGATAGCCTGAATCTTCTGAATCCCTTTGTCCGTGATCCCGAACACTCGAGCCTTGGTGTCTATCACAAAACCGAGGTGGTCCAATCGTTGCGACCCGTCCCAGCAGCCTTTGCCTGGCTTTCTGCGAAGACCGGTTTTCTGCAGCAGTTGGTCCAGGAGCCGTTGGGCTCTTCGGAGTTCGGAGTGACCTTGAACAGCTACCAGAAAATCGTCCATGTACGGGTGGATGCGAAGATTGAGCCGGTCCCTGATGTACTCGAGGAAAGGTCGCATGAACTTGACGAAGTAGAACGGAGATAGCTTCCATCCAAACGGTAGGGCGATACAGCGAAAGTAACGTCCATCGATCCTGAAGAGGAACCAGTTGCAGATAGCCGGATGTAGCCTGAAATGATGGTACCCCTTCTCTATGTCGAACGAGAGCAGGTGGTCGTTCGGCTTGATTTCCAGAGCGAAGGATTCCAGTGTTTCCATTTTGACGGGAACAGACCGAAAGAGATCTGACTGTCGCTTGAGGTTGACGACCAATCGTCGCTTTTCCGTGCGCACGATGAAGGCGTTGGAGATAGGGAATCCTTGCTTGTTGAGAGCCTTCACCGGGGAGATTTCCTCGTAGATGCGGCGGCACGTGGCATCGGTGAGCTTGTTGCGTAGCCAGTCCAAATCTAGAGGTTCCACCGGGATCTCGGGGAGTACAAAGCGTGTGGCCAATTTGGCTGAGTTGACCGGCTTTTCGTACACCCCGAACTTGATGGCTCGGACTAGGAAGTCCGGAGCCCTGAGCCCTTCGGCCCAGAAACGTGCTTGGCGGTGTGGGTTTCGCCATAGCACTGAAGGGTCCGGTTTGCGGACCATTACTTGGAGCTAGACCCGGAAGAGCCTGAGCCTCCTGAATTGGGGTTCCGCGGCGGATACCGCTGCGCCCCTTTTCCTGAAAGTCCCCTTGAGACACGTCCTGTAGCCTGTGTTCCTGAGTTGCGAGCAGCTTGTTTGTTGAATTCCTTGGCGTAGGCCTGGGAGCGGAGTTCGGCAAACTTCTCCTTGGTGTCCCTGTAGAGTTGGGACACGTAGGGCTGATCCTGTTCGCGCAGGTACTTCTGGAGAAGTACCGCCTCGGACTTTCCTGATTCCACCAAGTCTGAGAAGAAGTCGACTCGCTCCTGTACTCGTTCGTACGAGGCTTGGAGGTAGTGGTGCAAGACTGAAAAGGCCTCAGTAGCGGCTTGAGTGTTTCCAGTGGACAGGGCCTCCGCCACCTTGTGAGATGCGGCGAGGGCAGTTTCCGTGTTGTAACTGACGTTCCAGAGTACCTCAGCTTCCCAACCGTCCCTTGTGTCCGATTCCTTGATGCGCCCGAACAGCTTCTCGTTTTCCGGGATGAAGCGTTTGGCGGGGAATGGGGCCTGGGTAGCGGGTTTCTGAAAGAGGTTGAGTTTTCCAGTTTCCCCGTACTGTTGGCGGGTAGCGACGGTGTCAGCGATTCCTTGAGCAGTCGGAGCTGGAAGTGTGAACTGAAGTCCCCTGTCGGCGTAGACGGCGTGAGCAGACGAGAGCTGCGGTGGGGCAGGGCCCGCGTGGGGGGTCCTGGCACCCGGTTCCTCGGCGGCTTGTTGAGCCGGCGGAGCGGCTGGATCCTCAGCGGTAGCGGCGATAGGAGCCGTACCAGCGGGGTGGTTCTGGAGCAGCGAGAGAATCTGGGCGACCTGCGTCTCCAGAGAGTTGACCTTGTTGACGAGAGCGGCAGACGGAGGGCGACTGGTAGAAGGCTGGTTTTCCAAAGCGGGCACTGGACCAGAGATGCCTGCGGATCCAGACGAAGATTGAACTTCTTCAGCATTAGGCATAATCCGCGATTTTGTTGAGAGCCGGCCGTGACGATGATCCGTCTGGAGCTTGTTGAGTTGTGTAACTAGAAACAAGCGACGACTTGAGGAAGAAAGAAGAGTGGTGAGAGAGAGTTTGACGTGCCTCTCTTATACAGCCCTGTTTTCGGACAGTGGCCGAATTTCCATTTCTGCCAAGTTCCATGACGCGAATGAAGAATCATTCGCAATCATTGCCAAGTTATAGTGGGGGTGCCAAACCATTGCGTGTGACTTGGTGATGATTCATTTTTGTGCCAAGTGTTGATTACGCGAACGAAGAACAGCACCAAGTCATTCGTGACTTGGTGCTGATTTTTTGCTTTTGACAGGTTCTTCATTACGCGAACGAAGAATCATTCCAAATCATGGCGTGTGGTTTGGCGCTGACTTGTCGCCAAGTCATCCTGACTTGGCTTTCTGCGGCTGAAATGGTCCACTTGATTTCCACTTCCTTCTGAGTTGTCGTGCGTTCCAACCGAAAAGCCCCCTTGTCCAAATTCACATTTCAATTGCCAATGAATGCACTAAAAGCCGCTTTTTAGTCCGATCCCCCTCACGGCCACCGAACATCGTTCACGGATCTTAGCTTGCCATATTGAAAAGGCAATTGTTGACGACGTTCTACAGATGCTGTCTCGCATGAACATTGGCTCTGGATTACTTCGCACGGGGACTCAAAGATTTGAGAGGAGGGATGTAGAGCAGTGGGTAAATATTGAATCAGATGAAGGTGTGGTGGAAGCGTCTGTCAATGACGCCATGGATGTTTTGGAGACAGTTCAAGTGGTGCAGAATCCCCCTGAAATGCAATCAAGTGATGAAGGTGAGAGCGCAGAAGATGCAATGGAGAGAAGGACTATACCCTGTGTCGTCGAGATCGCGGAATTGTTTGGAGAGCTGGAACTTTTGGCGACGGAGTGCCAGGTTTCGGACGCTCTATCGCATCTGCGGTCGGCAAAACGCGCATTTCTCACTGCAAGACACAACAGAGAACCAACACAGAGCAGGCAGACGTTAATTACCGAATGCATGCAGATAGATGTGACGACGTTACTTACTAATGCCGTCTCGCAATAGTGCACGTTTTTGGGGTTTCGCACGGGGCGGCACTAATGGGTAGGGTCCCCTGTATTACGAAATAACTATTTGAGAGTTTACGCAGTTGGGTATTTCGTGGTAACCAGGTTATCGTTGACGCAGTCCTATACACTGCTTGAGAGATGAGGAACAAGGAGAAGAAAGCACCGAAGAAGGCATGAAAGTTAAGGTCGGCACTAACAGCAACCAATGCTGTAGGACACATCGCTTTCTGCAGCAAAAATGACTTCCACGACCTGTTCCTGAAGCTGACCTGGACTGTGCACAGATTCTGCACCTCATGCGGCAGGCTCTGTGTCAAGGGATTGGAAGCACGCGCAATCGGAGCGAATTCTCATGGGACATCAAACGCTTCAGAAGTGGCCAACAATAATATTCGTACTGATTCATGCTAGGACTCGTTTTACCTTCTCTTTCACGATGCGGTGATATTGATATGCTGTTGCTATCTACAGCAATACTGTTAAACTGTGTTTCAGTCGATTGTCATGATGGTCTCACCCTCTCACCAAGAACACCCAGCGATTGCAAATGATGTTGCGCGGCTCTAAGGTGAGGTCATCACAGGCGCTGTTGCTCCTCCTTCGCTATACATGCGTATAATTTAAGGGATAGCAATAAGGCTTCCTTTCCTACCAAAAGGATTTTCAATTAAAGTCCTTCTCTTTCTCACTATCTCCCTTTCATTAAAGCAGAGAGGCCTACAAGAGCCGAATTCCTAACTTGTTTTAGTATCTGGGGTTTCAGCGCCATAAACAGCGTTTGGAGCCTTTCGAAGCGTGTACCTGTCGAGTGAAGTACGTTTGGATCTTGCGCGTCATCGATTTTTTTTTGGATTCGCGGCCTGTTGGCCAACCTGAAGACCCTAAAACACATCAGGATTGTCATGTCTTCGTCCTTTTCCGCTATCTCGAAAACGAATAAAATGGTTCTCTCACGGGGTTCGGATAGCATTCCTACATGCGTAGATGCGATTTCGTTTATTGCTGTTCTCTCAAAGCTTCTCCAAGCGATTCATGGGCACATACATTGTACGAGAGCACTTCTAAAGGATGTAGATGTGATACTTTTGTGGCGATAAAAAAGGTATCTGTCACTTTCGCGAGTTCTTTGTACAGTCATGCTTCTATACTATTTCGTCTCTGGTTTGGATGGCGAGCGGTAAAAGTCGGGCAACGGAGTTGGTCTAAAACGATACCTCCTGGCTTGGCTTTCGTCTGCTAGCTTCCTAGCTTCTTCGAGCTGCACTAAATGCTTCTCGTGTAGCTCAATACCTGCAAGGCGGAATGGTTGTGGAACCGTCGGTTTGCTCTGAGGTGTCTTCAGAGGAGAGAACGGCGGTCTCGCATACCCTGGTCCCTTGGGTGGACGGGGACTAGCTGGTGCGGAGGATGACACCGTAACCGGGCGTCTGCCTGCCCTTGCTCCGAATGAGGAGTGAAGGTCTGAAGCCCTGCGTCCAGAGTTGCTTCCGAATGGAGCGTACACGCTAGGTTTCAACTTATGAGACGAAGAACTAGAATGTGCACCTGAAAAAGTTGCACGGCGACTCTGTGAAAAACTAGAGGCTCGTGTCATGCTGCGGTTCTTTGCTGAAGCCACAACGGGCATAGACGCAGTCGAATCAGTATCCGAAACATCAATCTGGATTCTGTGCACGGCCGAAAGCCTTCTTGACTGTGTGTGCGTTGGGGTCCCGGAAAATGTAGCACCTCTTGGTAGGCGATATTTTGCTGTTGCCTTTTCTCTGCCTTCTTTCCCGGTCAACTCCGCTACTCGCGGAAGACGAGGAGAAGCGTGCGTTCCTGTCGATGAGCCAGTACTCGGGGATAGGACCCTCATCTCAACCCCGCTTGGCAACGTTTTGGGAACGCGTTTCCATGTAGTCGGAGATCGTGCTGATGAAGCGGATATGTCTCTAGCTCCATACGGTTTTGGACTTTTCGCAATTCTTACAACCCCGCGTTGTGCTGTCTTTCTTCTTTCTGTCTCTTCCGTGCTACTGACCGTTGCAGAGACTGAGGAACCGGTAGACGGCTCTTCGGTGAGGTTCGAATTCGTAGCTACAGCTTGTGTACTCGGGACCGATACTCCTTCCCCTTCACCATCACCTTCTGGGATACTTGACGAGTTGTGCCTTTCTGCTGGTTCAAGCTTAGGTGTCACTGGGGATCCCACCTGCCTCGCTTGACTCGTTGAGTCAACCGGTGTCGATGTGGGCGTAACGTTATCCAAGTTGGTTAACTGCCCCAAATTCTCAGCTGCTCCCTCATCTCGGGCTTCTGCAGTAGCTTCTGACAGCAACTCTGAACTGTCTGTAGAAACTGCATTCACAGAAGCAAGTCTATCTTCTGAAGCATCAGAGGTGTCTGTACTAGCTTGGGGAGCAACTTCGCTTGACGGAAAGGCACTCGAGTTCGACGAATTAGCAGCTGGTACAACACGTTCATCTCGCAACGCGGAGGAAGGTCTGTCACTTGCGGTTGCGCCAACGGTGTGGTTTTCCTCAGGCAGCTTCGCACTGGGAACTCTGATCGTGTCATGGTCCACTCGACCTACCTCCATTGGTACTGCAGCCGCCAGGGTAGAAGAACGCTGCTCAACAGCGCCAATGTTTTCGGTATGGATATTGGATGGGCTGCTGTCAGCGACAGTCTCTGGAGTACCGGCTATCCCTTGGAGTGCACTGATTGTCTGATCACGTTTGAGCTGGGTACATGGGTGGCCGCTGGATTTGTTTGTCATGCTATCATCCAAAAATTCATCGCCCTCTGACGAGTGCACCAGCAATGCTTTGGATTGGTTGGTGTCTTCTGATGTTTGCTCATGGCCTTCTATGCCTTGAATTCCAGTTGCTCCCCGTACTTCAGGGTCGCTTGAGGTACCCTTACCGCCATCTGCGTCTATACCATCAACTGATGGTATGTCTGCAGGACCATCCATCCATGTTTTAGCTTCCGAAATTTCAAGTTTCGGTCTGTCGAGGTTAGACGTGTAAGACGATATTGCTAATGGGCTTTTGGGGTTCAGACCCTCATTTTCTTCTTCGGACGATGGGGGGTCCTTTCCTAGAATATCCGTTGAGGGGTTCGGGATAGAATCAGATTCGACAATGGGATTCTCCAGGACATTGGGTGGGATGCCTTCGTTCATGCCAGTGCGTGTCATTTGCGCTGTCTGTACTGAGGGCTCGTCTGCTACGTTTTCCATCGTGACTGTGTCCGGAAGAGGAGGTTCTTTCTTGGTGTTTGAAGTGAAGACGTCCGCACTGAATGGCCTATTTCGAATCGCCACAGGCTGTCCTATGTGAGCTGTGTCCAATCTTGACAGACTTCGGAATGGGGGCTGTTCCTCAGAAGGAGGAGTTTGACTCTCTTCATAGTCCAGTGCAATTTTTTGCGGAGGCTGTGTGGCCATTGTTGGGAGCGGGGGATCCTCATCAGTTGCTATTGCCTGCTGCATTCCCTCTGAGACAGCATGTGATGAAACGTCTGGTATCGGCTCTATTGCAAGCTCTTCTGCTGATTCTGCCGGGGACTCTTTTCTGGGCTCTATCGCGGGCTCTGTTGCAGGCTCCATCACGGGCTTCTCTGCGAGTCCCGTCACGACTTCCTCCGTGGGTTCTGCAGCCTGCTCTGCCGCAAGCTCTGCGATGGAGCCTTCGGACTCTCTCACTGGCTCCATGCTGGGCTCTTCTACGAGATGTATCGCCAGCTTGGAAGCGCGTTCTATCGCAAGCCCTGCCGCAGGTCCATCCATGAGCATTGTTGCAGGCTCCGTCACGTGCTTTCCTGCGAGCTCGGTCACAAGCTCCTCCGTAGATTCTGCCGTCGGCTCTGTTGTAGGCTGTGCGGCAAGCCCCACTGACTCTCTTGCTGGCTCCATGTCGAGGTCTTCTGTGAGCCTCGTCGCAGGCTTCGTTGCAGGCTCCCCTGTAAGATTTGTCGCAGGCTGTACCGCGGGCTCAGCTGTGGGCTCTGTGGCAGGCTCCGCCACGGGCCCTTCTACAGGCTCTGTTGCCTGCTCTATTGTAGGCTCTGCCGTAGACTCTAGGGATTCTCTTGTAGGCTTTTTGACAGGATCATGCGGAGGCTCTGTCGCAGCCTCTGTGTCGGATTCGGTCGAAGCCTCTATCTTAGCCTGGGTCTCAGGATCGATAGCACACTGAATTGCGGGGTCTGGTGTAGATTCTCTTTTATATTCTGGTCCAGCTTGATTCTTCCCCAGAAGTGGCAACGGTGCTGCTGAGGGTGCATCAGAAAAAGTGTTACCGGAGATAAGCTTGCCTTGAGAAACACCAGACTTGAAAATATTTTCAGACACATCGACTTTGCGGTTGGATTTCGTCGTCTTTGAGAATACATTCTTACCGCGAAAGAGGAATGCATCTGTCATAGCAGACACATCTGTCATAGCAGACACATCTGGCCTATGGTTGGGTAATGCGCTTGGTTCTTGAGCCCTTGGTTGTATCGACGACTCCGGCGGGATAGCCAACGCGGGGATTTCAACACTTTCGTTTCTTCGATCCTTTACGCTTGTGTTTTTCACTGAGGCTATTCCTGTAGCTGGTTTGTTCTCTTCATTCATTTGATTCTCCGCCATCTCACTAACTTCCGCCATCGAGCTTCGCGCGCTCTTGAGAGCGTTTGTGTTGATATCGATTCCAGCGCCATTCTGCGCAGCTCTCTCTATGCAGGCACTCGAGGGCCCTGCAATCGAATTTGAGTTCGACGCTTTAGCGCCTTCTTCATTTCGGGCTTCTCCCTCCACATGGCTTGTAAAATGCGAGCTCATTCTCTCTCTCTCAGTTGTTAGCTTGTCAGACGCGGCATGGAAAGTTGTTTCATCAGGAACAAGAGAAAGGGACACTGAGTCATGTCCTTCATTAAACGCGTCTCCGTGAAGATTGACTGAGGCTGCTTGACTGCATGAATCGACATCAGAGCGTGGTAAATCACTTTTTGGCTGTGGCTCTTGTGCTTCTTCGATGTCTGAAACAGTTGGTATGATATTTGGTGTTTCATCTTGAGCCTCAAGGTATGGACCAGTGGGTGCTGTTGGCAGGTAGTTTCTGTCATCGGGAATAGTTTCACCAGCACTGGCATTGACATCTACAGGTTCTTCATACTTTCCAACTGTGTGTGCCATGAGAGCCGCGGGAACTTCGGCCGCGGCTTCAGGACTTGACAGCGATGGTGCGATATCTTCGGGCGAATCGGCTAGAGCTTCGACCTCTTTAGTCTCCTCGAAATGCTTAATGGATGAAGCGATCGGAATGGAAGGATTGCTTGTCGGCGTGGTAGTCAATAGCTGTGCCTCGGCTGCTGCAATTACTGCATCCATTCTGTCTACAGCGGAAGTGATTAGTGGTGCAGGAGCGTCAGCGCTGGCGCTTCTGAATGTCTCGTCCGGCACAGACATTCCCACCGTCCGGACCTCCCCTGCTTCGAAGTGTTCCACCTTAGGAGAGATTGGCACGGAGGGAATGTCAAGGCTTGTACGAGTGAGAGTATCATCCCGAATTGGCATCTCGAACTTTTCGATTGCAGACTCAACCCGAGAACTGGCCTGGTTGGTTGACGCGTTAGAAACAGGGACTGCCTCTTCGGGAGCTTCAAACCTAGCGACCACATTTGCAATTGGTATTGAAAGACTTTCATCGTGAGGATCTTGAGAAGGAGCGCATGCAACTATAGATTCAAAGTTGCTCACAGCGGCCTCAAAGCGTGACACGGCATCATCGAACGGAGAGGATATGTTGTCTGTGGGACTTAGTCTTTCAACAACATCGTTCAGAGGTACAGAAGCTTGATAGACCCTTTCCATGTCGGCTTGTAATGGATTGACAGCGCTCTCGAAAAGATTGGCAGTGGGTATTGGAGGGGTTGTTGTGATGGTAACAGTGCCGTCATCAATAGTGGGGAGAGCATGCGGCTCAGACCTTTCAAACTGTCCAACTCTTTCTGAGACGATACTGGATACAGCATGTGAAGCGGGGCATGATGGTTGTTGTGCAGAGGTAGACGAAGTAGATTGGTGAGGCGTTCTGGAGTCTTTGGGGTTTTCTGCGTTCGGGGTGGGCGGTAACGGACTCCGGACGTTGATAGATGCTGACGAGGTTTGTGGGGAGGCCATACGCAGTTCGATTTCCGCGACTGCAGTCTGGACGTCCGGGATGAAAGTCATTGAGTCGCTGATGTCGAGCGATGGGGTTTGACGCCCCGAAGAGGTACTGGTCTCCGGAGCTGTCGCGGTGGCTTCAGAAGCGGTGCGTGACATGTCAGGTGGGACGAAGCAGCACGCCCACAGCGGCTTCGCCGCTCCTTTGGTGTCTGTGAAAAGGATGGTGGCTTGGGTGTGGAAGGCGGAGGGAGGTTATCGAGGACAGGAAGCGGATGTGGTGGAATCAAGGCGGTGGATGAAGCTTTATTGGTCGATAACGAACGGAGGATAGGCGATATATGCGTGCGCACTGTAGCTTTCTACTACGAGGTTGGCGAATGGTATATGGAAAATGGATGGATTTTTATGGTTCTCGTTACACTACGGCTTAACTGCACCAACCGAAAGGGCCCGGGGTGGAAGGCGTTGATGCGGGGTGCCATAACATGCGGAGTGCGGCCAGACTATGGTCGGGCGCGGTGCCCTTCGGGTCGCGGCGGTCGCTGAGCACAGAAGTTGTCGCCGCTCTCGATGCCGGGAGTGCATGAATAAATAAATAAACTTGTATCATAACAGTTAGAAGAGGTCCGTCTTGAGCCATCATCCCCGGCCTGGCGCCGCCTTCTGATTGGGCCCCGGTCCATCACCACTGCGTTGACCTCTCAACGTTCCATCGTCACGCGTCTGGCCCCACCTGAAGGTGCGCAGCATTGTCGCCAAGTCAGCTCGAGAATCCCGGAGAGTTACCACATCTCAGAAGGCCACAACGGCCCGCTCGACTCTAGACTTTATCCGGTGGCCTTGCACGCCTATGAATACGAACGCAAACGAATTAAAGTGCCGTTAAAAGAGGAAATACCGTACGCCACACCAATACAAGCGTGATTACACAAGCCCGCAAGCCCACGGCACCGCAATCAGAAAAACGGCAAAATCTGGTCAAATCCTTCATACGCTCTTCTCCGACCTGAAACCCCTCATCCTGTATCCTCTCGACTTGGCATCGTTTCATTTGTCGCTCATAGCGCGAATAGGATCTCACTTATGAGAGCTTACACTGTCAATCTTCAAACGAATCCGAATTGTTTGATCACAGAGCTGTTTTATTCTTATCAAAGTGAGTTTTTTGCTGATCGATCTGTGATTCATTTTTCGCAACAACCAGGGGCGAGCGATGCTGATCGTCGCCGCCGGCGACATACCCTGATCTCTCAATAATGCACATCGGTTTATCACACCTGTACCAATCCCCGTTAGTTCTAAGCCTCTTTTTATCAAACACTTCCCTAGACTATCGTCATCACGCATTACTCCTTCGCCTCCCACTAACGGTGCAGTCACCTATCCGGTAGACCAAATCGATTAACATGGCCGAGACACTTTCGCTTCGTGGGTATCTGAAGGGTCACTCTGGCTGGGTCACCGCCCTCGCCACCACTGTCGACAACACCAATATTGTTCTGTCTGCATCCCGCGACAAGACCATCATTGTCTGGCAGCTTACTACCGACACCGAAGAGCTTGGCTCTTACGGTTACCCGAAGCGCGCTCTCCGCGGCCATGGTCATTTCGTCTCCGATGTTGTCCTCTCATCCGATGGCCAGTTTGCCCTGTCGTCTTCATGGGATCACACTCTCCGCCTCTGGGACCTGTCTACCGGCGTCACTACTCGCCGATTCGTGGGTCACTCCAAGGATGTCCTCTCCGTGGCATTCTCGGCTGACAACCGTCAGATTGTGTCAGGTTCTCGCGATCGCACCATCAAGTTGTGGAACACCCTCGGCGAATGCAAGTACACCATTCAGGAGGAGGGCCACACCGAATGGGTCTCCTGCGTTCGCTTCTCGCCGTCCACTCAGAACCCGCTCATTGTGTCATGCGGCTGGGATAAGCTCGTCAAGGTGTGGAACCTCACCAACTGCAAGCTCCGTACCAATCTTCACAACCACTCTGGATACCTCAACGCTGTGACCGTCTCACCAGACGGGTCTCTTTGCGCCTCCGGTGGAAAGGACGGCGTGGCTATGCTGTGGGATCTCCAAGAAGGGAAGCACTTGTACTCGCTGGAGGCTAATGACATTATCCACGCCTTGTGCTTCTCCCCGAATCGTTATTGGCTGTGTGCCGCCACTAACTCGTGCATTAAGATTTGGGATTTGGAGTCCAAGACCGTTGTCGATGAGCTTCGTGACGACCAGGCGGAATCCATTGGCAAGAAGGCTGCGCAACCAGCATGTATCTCTTTGACATGGTCTGCCGACGGTTCCACACTGTTCTCTGGATACACTGATAATGTCATTCGCGTCTGGGGTGTCGGCATCGGCCGGTAAGATGCCGTTAGCGGCTTGTTAGATCGAGTGGCTGATCTGCATCATTTGAAGGCTACGTGATTCGCAATGTAGGCGATGAAGGAATGGCTAGGGAGCGCCGTGGCCGGGGGTTTGTGGTGGCCGCGGTCGGTGCCGTTACCGGATGCTTACGTGAACGCTAGTTATACACAGTAGGTTGGAAACGAGGCCTGCTCGTGTGTAAACGATGCATTGATCGTGAAGAAAAATTTCTTTTCTTTTTGTATTTCTCTTGATTCCCCCCGTCCCTTGAATTTCCGTGCAACGTGCATTGATCAGAAGGGCTCTTCATAAGCGTAGGGGTTCATGACTGCCAATTATTGCTAGATACGGTACATGGAGCTCAGGACTGGGCTCTTGGGAGGCTGTGCGTTATGAAAATTAGCGCGGTAGCGATGTTATTACTCCTACGCTTCTGCTTTGTAGCTTCTCGAAATCGTAGTGGCCTGAAAGATCCCACCTGGTGACACTGAGTGTGGGAGAATGGATTATCTGCTTGCCTATCTCGCAGAATCCCATGCCATTCTACTCTTCTGAACAAGAGTGGGATAACCGAGGTTCAGTTGCTCAATCGTGACAAAGCAGGTAGTGCACGTAGTAACGTAAAATGGTGATGAAGAAAGAGGAATGAAGCAAAGCACAAGACGATGTAGGGTGCTGAAAAGTGGCGAGGCGAAGGAAACGACTGACTTCAAGATGTTTTAGATATCGACGAAGGTCGTGGTGGAGGGAACAGGGAACCCATGAGTACCGTAGGCTGTCTAGCCGCTCGGAGGCGGGCATCGTTTGGAAAGGCTCCCATGATCATAATGCGTCTACCTCTAAAACCTGCAAGAGTCTGTGAGACGACAGGACTGCGAAACGGGGAGTTGTTGTGGATGGCATCTAATGAGCAATGAAATCTTGTTAGTACTTCTCCAGCCCGATTTCGATGTGTCCACCTCTCTTACTAAACAGCACGTGGGCAAATACAACGACGATGTCAGTAGAGTAAGCTGTACAATGCGAGTCTTTGCCAGTTAGGCCACGGGTGCGGACTCTAATTAACACCGATACATTTCTAGAAACACAAAAGTACAGTACCCTTGGGTGGTGTAAATTAATCGGATTTCCAATCCGGAAATCCGCGACGTTTTAATCTTGAGATCAACAAGCGGGAGTAAGGTTGCAGGAAATGTTGCATTGAGTATCATTTCTCTTCGGTGCCCGCTTTCGCGAGTGACGGCAGGTATGGGCAGTTTGGATTTTCGGAGGGCGAGGTTGGGGGACAGCACTTGCTCTTGTGCATATATACAAGACAACAGTGATTTCAGTGGTGAACTGTGCAGAGACGGCATGGACCTGATGGGAAAGAGGGAGAGAGTGCTCATGAAAAAACCACGGACACACGGCGCATAGTGCGTAGAGAAGACGGCCCCAGCACAGTGGATCATCTGTTGTTTAATGTCGCCACGAGAGCCGGGGGAATTGTTAGGGCGCTACAGATTAATACATTGGATTGCTAATACGTTGCGCACATTGCATGTACCTGTATGTCTATTGATATGCACAAGAAGGGCAATAAGCAAGACAAGAAGTTCAAAAGACGAGGTCGCTAGCATGGCGACCCATCTCCAACTCTGGCTCATGTGGGATGGTCTGGTCTGGGGCGACGTGGATAGCAACAGAGTGGCTCTCCTGCAGAATGGTCTTGTCTTCCACCGCGGCGACTCTGGCGCGGACGGCTTGAACAAAGATGGCGAGGACGGAGGCGCACAAGACGGCGATCATGGCCAAACCGAGGGTGACGAGGGCGAGGATCCAGGTAAGGCGGGTGCGTGCGGCGACGTAGACCCAGGTAGCCTGCGCGGCAAAGAGCGAGGCCAAGGCGGTGGCGCAGGTGGCAGCGGCGGCGATAGCGACGGTGAGCTGGGCAGGGTGGTCGGGGCCGATGCGGCGGGCTTGCGGCTCGGCGCGGCGGTGGGACAGGTAGGCAGCGACGGCAAGCGGAGCGGCGAGCGCGTGGCACGGCCACGAGAGGAAGATGGCCAGCAGGAAGGCGAGGCGCGCGGAGGGTGGATGGAAGAAGTACAGGTCCTTGGAGACGGTGACGAACGGGATGACGGAGATGGCCGTGGCTACGACGGACGTGAGGGCGAGGTCCAGCAGGCGCGTGCGCTTGAGGGAGGGCGGCATGGTGCGGGGCGCGGCGGCATGGCGGGCGGGTTGCAGGGCATGGAGGGGAGGGGCGGATGGCGGGAAAGGTGAGATGGACGGGAGACAGGAGTGGGGGAGTGCTGACACAGAGAGATGGCGATTCTGCTTCTGGCGATGCGGCGGTGGCAGGCGCACAGGCTTCAGCGAGGCATCTGCCGACCGGCACGCCGTTGCATCCAATGGATCGGGCGCGTGACGTGTTCGAGCTTCGATCTCGTCTGCTCCCCGTGTCGGTGTAATACGTGGCCCGGTCGGTGGCGCAGTCACGGCGGCAACGAGGCAGTGTAAGCCCGGAGATGATCTCGGGCAACGGATGCTAAGGGCGCCAGGGCCCAGCGAGCATTGTCCGTTGCCGCCAGATCCAGATTCAGGGCAAAGTGTACGTTTTCTTCGCCGCGCGAATGCATCTCATGCGCTCGATGCCAAAATGATGCCGTTCTACCTTGCCCGTCCACCCTTTATCATTTTTTAGCGAGAGACTTTCATAGCGGAATGCCCGGATTGCGCTGTGTAGTATAAATATCGAGGTATCGCATCCGACCCCTTAACCTCGCCGTTGACACGCGTTTCGTTCCATCGCCTCCGCAAACCCGTATCTCCTCCTTTCCCCTTCCTCCTTCCTCCCTCCTTCCTCCCTCCTCCCTCCCTCCTCCCTCCTTCCTCCTTCCTCCTTCCTCCTTCTCTCTTACCTTTTCGCTTCCCACTCCCCACGCCATCCCTTTCGCAATGTCCGATCATGTCATCGCCCTCGACCAAGGGACCACCTCGACCCGCGCCATCCTCTTCACCGGGACAGGAGACATTGTGAGCTCTTACCAGCTCGGTCATGTCACCCACACCCCCCATCCCGGCTGGGAGGAGCACGATCCTATGCGTACGTTACGTCCACACTTTCCCCCTCTTGCCTATCCGCGCGTCCTGTCTCAACCTTGAGTCCTGCTCACACTCTTGTAGTCCTTCTGTCCAACTCTAAGCAATGCATCGACATGTGCGTCAGCGAAGCCGGCGAAAGAGGCGTGCTCCTTTCTCAGATCGTCGCCATTGGCGTCACTAACCAGCGCGAAACGACCGTGGTTTGGGATCGTCGAACGGGGCAGCCATTCTGCAACGCCATCTTGTGGAAAGACGCCCGCACAAGCACCACCGTTGAGGAGATCGCCTCGGAGATAACCACCCGCCAGGTTATTGACACCACAGGTCTCCGCCCGTCTACCTACTTCTCTGGTGTCAAGATGCGCTGGATGATCGCAAATGTCCCCGGCGTCAAGGAGGCCGTCGCCGACGGCACTGCCATGTTCGGTACCATTGATACTTGGCTGGTGTGGAACCTCTCGGTGGAAGCCGCTTATGTCACCGACGTCACCAACGCCGGCAGAACCATGCTCATGGACATCCGCGACCGCAAGTGGGATAAGACCATGATGGACTTGATTGGCGTCAGTCCCGCAGTGCTTCCAGACATTCGCTCATGCTCCGAACTCTTTGGCACTATGAGAGACACCGTACTCAAGGGCGTCCGTATCGCCGGCATCATCGGCGATCAACAAGCCGCTCTTGTTGGTCAAGCCTGTTTTAATGTCGGCGAGCTAAAGAACACCTATGGTACAGGGTGCTTTTTAATCGTCAATACTGGTGAGGAGCCGAAGTTCAGCAACCACAGGCTCCTCACTACTCCTGCCTATCAGATGGGCCCGAACGCGAAATGCATTTATTCCCTCGAGGGTAGTGTTGCCGTTGCTGGTGCCGTCATTGAGTGGATGAAGGATAAGTTGGATTTTATCAACCACGCCAGCGAAATTGAGGCCCTCGCCAGCAGTGTACCGGACACAGGTGACGTGTATTGCGTGCCGGCGTTTTCGGGCTTGTTCGCTCCAAGATGGAGAGATGACGCACGCGGCGTGTTTACAGGTATCACCTTGTCAACGACGAAAGCTCATATGGCCCGTGCCATGCTCGCGGGCATCACACATCAGGTAAATGACGTTGTCAGGGCGGCTTCGGAAGACATGGGTGCAGACATTACAGAATTGAGGGTGGACGGGGGTGCCTCGGTTTGCAATTTGTTGCTGGAGATGCAAGCTAATATCACCGGCACTTCCGTGGTCAGGCCGTGTGTTGTGGAGACGACGGCTTTAGGTGCCGCTTTTGCTGCAGGTCATGCTGTCGGCCTCTTCCAATCGGAAGAAGAATTCGCACATCACTGGGCCGCAGACAGGACATTTACACCCCAAATCACAGAGGAACAACGTAACACTGAATTGTGTAAGTGGGAAGCCGCAGTTGAGCGGTCGCTCGGATGGACAAAAGTTGGGAACCAAATCTCGAGGCCGTGGTGGAAGCCACCGATGAACTTTGTAGTCCCTGTGATTTCGGCTGTCAGTGCATCGGTCGTGACAGCTCTGATCATTTCACATAAGCAAAAGTAATGCGTTCTCTGCGTAGACCTTGTCACTCATGTTTATAAATTTAACTATGCCGCTTCTCTGCTCATAGTTTCTGTGCGTAGTTACATTTCACTGTAGCGCAAGTATTGAGGCATTTTCTGCTCATCGAACGGATCGGAAGAGAGGGGAATAGAAGGGTTAGGAAAATCTGTTTCATGTGCTTGATAAGGGATCATGGGCGTATTTTCAAGGGAAAAGAACGCAGGAATTGAAACTCCTTGACGTGTGCCAGAGTTTTCGAGAGACTTACAATTTGATACAGTGAGAGCAGTGCAACGATTGCGACGAACGTCATCATTATCATACTCAGTCCAATAGCGCTCTGTCCTGACTTGTAAGGGAGAACCCAAGGAAGCTCCTGAATCAAGATCACAAGTACGGAGATACTCACACATGTAACAGAAACAAAAAAGCCCTCGCCAACATATTGCGAGCGCGATCCTTCAGCGAAATACTGCGTGATTCCATTACTGTCGACGACTGCAAGCGGTTGATTATGTATCCATGAAAAGAATCCTCCACCAACAGAGAAAATGTACACTAGCATGACAAGCCCAAACCAGACCATGGGTCGCTTGTATGCTCCGGAAGCGACACCGACAAACACTGCAAACCCGACGAAAACCAGAATTATCGGCATAACAGCACGTACATATGGAACAAATGGTATCTGGCCGCTGCGAACAACTGACAGACTTGATGATGTTCGGGCATTCACAAAGTTCTTCATCTGATTTGGGAGGATACCAAACTGCTGAATCTGATAGTTATCAGGTGAATTATCGTTCAACGGCGAGGGAAAGTTGCGAGTGTTTCCTGCGCGGAAAGCGTAGAGAATGGGAACATGCTGCATGCTGTACTTGGCAAGAAAGGCTTGGTCATTCGGCGACACTTTCAACGACGCGAAAAAAACTGGCATACGCGATTTCTTCCTATCAGGAAGTTCCTCATATTCCTTCGCTATTTTCTCGATTGCCAGAAGCATTGGAGCGCAAGGCTTGCACATAGATGCATCGGCGGTGAACATAACGATTAATGTATACTCTCTCGGCGCACGCTCGACATACTTTTCAAATTCTCCGATGGACAAGGAAAGAACCTGAGAGTGCGATGAGCGCTTTAGTGTTTGAAGTTGTGAGAGCGAAGCAGAAGAACCGGCTCCATGCACCAAGTTGGCACTGAACGCGCATATTGATAAAAGCAGCAATAGCACAGGCCCGAGCCTCCGTCCGTTCCGCATGTCACGAATATCAAGAGGATCTTTCAACCCTGTATACATCAAAAACTCTTTCACACGGGACAACTCGCTTGAGGTAAGCCTTCTGCCCTCGAATCGACAATCCAACAGATTGCCAAACGTGAAACGAGCTGACGAGGCAGCTATTGGAAGAGTTTGTACCCCTCGCTTCTGCTCTTGACCCTGTCAATCGCGATTCGTCGGCCGTCTCGCCGGCGGGGTGCTCCTCGTGACGAAGATGAAGAGAAGTGGGAGCAGAACACGAGTGGCGCTGTCGTTCGGTGTGGATTCCCTCACTTGTCCTCCAGGAGACCGATGCAAGGGAAGCGTCGACAGCGTTTAGCATTGCTGTGATAGAGATGAATCTAATTAAGCCGGATCCCACAAGAGATTTCAGAGTAATTTTTCGTACAGTAGATTTCTTGATTGAATCAGGGCCGTTTGCAATTTGTTGCTGGAGATGCAAGCTAATATCACCAGCACTTCCGTGGTAAGGCCGTGTGTTGTGGAGACGACGGCTTTAGGTGCCGCTTTTGCTGCAGGTCATGCTGTCGGCCTCTTCCAATCGGAAGAAGAATTCGCACATCACTGGGCCGCAGACAGGACATTTACACCCCAAATCACAGAGGACGGGAAATCCAGATACTGATGGATAGAACGGCACAAGTCCACCGAAGAGCGATGCCCTCTGCTTTCTGTGATGAGCTTCACTTCTATTTTTGGTCGCAAGCACAAAAGCGGCTGACGACTATCATGTGTTTAACATCGAGGATCGTGGAATGAACAAATCAGTGTTTGTTTTTTAAATATGGGAAGACAGACATGCTTGGTACTGTGCTAGCTAGAGAAATTTGAAGATAGTGAGGCGACGACCTCGGAGTCTCCCGCAAAGTGCAAGCTTATTGCCAACTTTACGTGAGCTTTTTTTGACGCTCACTGTGCTGCCATATTGAGGGATATATAGGCCTACCTTCATCGCACTTGCTGTTAAACGACCGCTGGTGAGGTATGTGAAACGCCTTTTCTTCTGTCGAGGTGCTGGTGACACTTTGCCCGGGAGCATTACAGTGCAGCTGTCTGACGAGCCGAGTAACCCGCAGAGCGTACTCAAGTAATTTACCTACCGGAGCGCATGTTGCGATATTAGGACGACAAGCTATTCATCTTGGTGACCCGCGAGTACAAGGGGGGGTCGCTCAATAGTGCCTACTTTAGTAGTGCTTCCCTCTATATAGTGCTATGGCTCACCCTCTGGCACAGGTTATCATAAGCTCACACGTGTATCATCCGGCATGGTTCAGTACTCAAAGGATGAAGTTATTTAGTTGTGTTATACAGGCTTTGTTGTGTTTGTGTTAGCAGTGTGCTTTGTCCCCAAATATATGTATTTGAGCCTCCTTTATATAGTGCCATCCCCCCAATAGTGCTATGGCTAGAGGTATGTCACGCTATAGCACTATATCGTAGGAGGCACTGTACTCTTCGGTATCTCGTGGGGGTCGAGATTGTGCAAGTGGGCAGCCTGACTGCAATAGTTGCATTACGGGCGGCTCAACGGTGCGTTGCATCCCAAGGGCAACGAGAGGGGGTCTGTGATTCACAGACCATGTCATCGTGCCCCTCACAGACTGTGAGGGGCACGAAGAAATGATCATAAAACCTGAAATGTCGCGAAAATGGAATTTGGGGGTTAGCCATTTGGATGGAGGGCGCCCCGTCGCTGACGCAGCGTCGCTGACGGTGGAGACTGCGGCTCAGAATAGGAGCACGTGGTAGATCATATTACAAGGCAGCCAATGGTGGCATTGCGGGTCGAATTAACGGAACCAATTCACGAATCATCTTCCAATTGCCTGGGCGCAGCCCATACCCGTCTTACATTCTGCTGCCAGATGACACCCATTCGCCCCATTAAAAGTACCCCTCCCGCACCCTCCGCTATGCACATCCGCACCCGCCCCCAACACTTCAACATACGCCATGGTCGCCACTCAGACTCCGTCATGGTCGTCCTCACCTTCCACCATCACCCTCCCAACTCTCTCCCAACCTTCCTTGAAATCTAACTACCCTTCCCTACCACCTCAGAACAAAATGGGCTCCGCTGAAGGCATTATCTGGCGTGATGTGCATCCCAGCTCGCTTACCAGTTTGGAGCAGAAGGGCGAAGGCTCGGGCGCTTCCGTATACCGAGGACTTCTGCCGTCTTTGCAGCTCCATGAAAAGCCGATGCTCGTCGCCATGCGCAAGCCGCGCATCACTTCCATTCTAGCCCTGGACCGTTTCGAAGCGGAAGTTCGTCTCCGCACTCGCATTTCACATCCCAATCTCCTTCCATTGCTTGGTGCCTGCACTGCTCCCCCAGAGTATTGCACCATCTCCCCGTGGATGGACGGTGGTACACTTTTCGACGTTTTGCATGCAAAAGCCGTCTCTATGTCATTTGAAAGGCTTGTCACGCTTTCTTTACAATTTGCAAATGCTATGGCCTACATGCACGAATGCAACCTCGTTCATCGTGATTTAAAGACTGCCAACTTGTTGCTTGATCGTAAATGGGAGAATCTGGTCGTAGCCGACCTCGACCTTGCCGTTGACGTCAACGAGCTTCTCTCGGCAGCTTCTAAGAACGGTGGCCGCGCAGTTCACCGCGGTCCGTCTAACGGGCGACTTTCTCACATGGTTGGAACACTAGTTTACATGGCACCTGAGGTGCTGTCCGGAAAACCTCATTCATTTGCGGCTGATGTGTATGCTTTTGCTGTCACAATTAATGAGATGGCCACCGGGGCTGTACCTTTTGTGGATAGGAAAATGCCTGTCCCTGAGCTACATACCGTTTTGGAGACCCGCTTCAATGAGGTCAAACTTAGAGGAACAATTGTGAAGAATCATCTTAGACCAGTTCTTGCACGAGGTGTTCCAGAAGAATTCAGAGAACTTATTCAACAGTGTTGGCATCCCGACCCCGTTGAGCGTCCAACTTTTCCTCAGATCGTGTGCCTTCTTCGACAGATATTGGAGAGAGGACCGAAGTACCTTTCTAATTTTTCTGGTTCCACTGTAGATATAGACAATCACCTAGCTGGTGTTTCAAGAGGCATGAGAATTGATGATTGCAACCCTATCTTGACGGAAATCAAGTCTCACATGTCAGCTGCGAGAAAGCCTATTTGGGAGCAGAAACGGACCCAGTCCAACGGCAATGGCATGGAAATCGACTCATACACCATGCCCTTGGATATAACTGCAGCCTTGAGCTCTACATGCGGTAGTAGAGGTCCCGACCGCATGGAAGATAGGAGCATTGTTCAGTCGCAACTAGCCAACTTGCCAAACACTCATCTTTTCGGAGTGTTTGATGGGCATGCCGGTCAAAAATGCTCCGATTTTGTCGCAAAGCATTTTGCCGGAGCTTTGTTCCGTGCGTGGGTCAATGCTGACGCCACGCCTGAATCAGCGCTCGTACATGCGTTTGAAGATGTCGATGAAGCGTTTTTGAAGGATGCCCCCGCTACTGAGGAAAGTGGATGCACGGCACTAACGGCCCTCGTTGTGGATTCGACCCTTTTTGTTGCCAACGCTGGAGACTGCAGATGTGTTTTAGGCCGAACAGATGGATCCTATGTTGATCTCAGTCGGGATCATGTTGCGACCGATCCTTTCGAAAAAGCACGCATCGAAGCAAGAGGCGGTTTTGTTTCTCCGCAAGGTCGCGTACAGGGCCGTTTAATGGTTTCACGAGCCATGGGAGATCGTTCGGTGAAGAGGTTTGTGTCATCCACGCCTGAAGTATTGACAAGTTCTATTTCTGAAAAGGACGACTTCATCATCATGGCTAGTGATGGTCTGTGGGATGTAGTTTCATCACAAGAAGCGGTTTCTATGTTGCGATCCACAGTGAGAGTGCCCGACATGGCCGCCAAGAGGCTAGCTCTAAAGGCAGTTGAATTAGGATCGGATGATAATATTTCAGTCGTAGTTGTGTTTTTCGGTGGAAATAAGAGTTTCAGCTATCTCTAGCCGAACCAATCCTATTTCCCACGCACCCGACTGTCCACCTTTCGCAGATAAAACCCCTCTAACTGTTGATTTAAAAAGTTGTAGACAGTTGCACTGCAGAAGTATCGGAATCCACCCAGAACAAGTACTATCCCAACTAGGGGCTATCGTCGCGTTGTTGCTGGGAGCACTGGATTCATTAATCGAGCTCTTCCACCGGCAGCAGACGACCCCGCTCCTGCAGTCGGATTACCGACAGGAAGCGATGGCCTATTGTTTCGACCGAACATCGGCAAGTTAACCATTCTGCCACTTGCATTGCCACGACCATTATACTCTTCACTTCCCGTGACACATCTGCTGCATCGTGGCTCGTTTGGTTTGTCAGCGTACAACCAGAAGGTTTGGGTTAAAGGTAATCTACAAATCGTGCAGGTCAAACAAGCCTTGTGCCAAGTCTTCTCCATGGCAGTGATAACGGTGTCCATGATTGGTTCCGAACAACGCGCACACCGTGATGCAAGATGCGCTGCATAACAGGCTTGGCAATAAGGAATCCCTCCTCGTTCTCTAAACTGACCCGCCCCAGCCCCCATGGGCCTTCTGCACTTTCCACAGCAAAAACAATGAGGATGGAAATTCTTGCCTAAGGCTGTGGTATATGTGCCCTCCACCATCCGACCACATGCTGCGCATGGCGGTCCGGAGCCACCCTGGGAACTTTCCTTAGATGAAGAGCGCGAAGAGTCATCAGGGGGAACAGTCGACTTGCCTGCATCGGGAGATTTGTCTGTGGTATTACTTGCGTCCACGCTCTTACTTCCCCCAGCTGTCGCACCACTCGCAGCAGCCTGCACCCCTTTTGCATGTGCTGCTGCTGCGTTTCGCTTTGCGTTCTTGGCCTTTTGCTTTTTCTTCCTGCGTTTTGCCGCTTTCCGATTTGCTTGATTTCTGGGCAACGCTGAGGTAGCAGCAGCTGCCGCCGCTGCAGATACAGCTGCCGGTTGCCCTTTTCCCTTGGTGCCAGCCTTCGAACTGGCATTTTTACTGGCAGATTTGCTGGTTTTAGCCGCACTGCCCTCTGATTTCTGCACTACCGGCACTTTTGGAGGCTCAGCTAGTCCTGCGAGTGCTGCAGAATAGTCCATTCCTCCTGTTTTCTTCTTTTTAGAGGATGCTCCCAGAGTGCTAGCAGCCTTCGGTTCTTCTTTACCTACTCTTGCAGCAATCTCCGATCGAATGTTCGAACGGGTGGTCTCGCTTGCAATTGCGTACAAAGGAGACTCTGGCAATTCGTTAATAGCCATCGCGAAAGACTGTCTTACAAACTCAATTGTAAACGATTCCCAAGACGACCGATTGGTGCGCACTTCAAGCCGCCCTTTTGGACCTGCCATGAGCCACTCGTCGACCTGTACTGCACCTGCTTCATCACCGCCTCGCATCTTGACGTTACCTAAGTAAATGCCACCCCAAACTTGGCGCGACTGCACACAGAGTGGGCTAACAGCATTCCCCTCTGGGATCAAAGCTGCAGCAGACTCGCAGAGTGTTTTTGCGCGGCTCTGAGCTATATTGGACTTAGATACGCTGAGGACCTTCCCGCTCTCTACGTCCTTGATCACGAAAAGAGCTCGCATATGACCGTTTGACCCGGACACTGCGCCGTCCACTCGGAATCCACTGAAAAGTAGTTCCTTTTCATGGGTCTCTTGTATGGACGTCTTTGGTCCATTCTGTACCACCGCAACGAAATTTTGATCCCCATCACCCCTGCGCAGAACGCGGGAGTGGGCGCTTCTCAATCGAAAACGTACTCCGAGTTCTAGTACTGCGTGTGAGAGCGCTTCCACGCTGGTTAACCGCGGAAGATTATGGTCGAAAGGGCCGTTCACAAAGCCTTTCCCAAGGGTACCTGGAACAATTTCCAGATGAAACAGTTCACGTTTTGACACCACATTTTTCAGGCGTGCCCTATCTTTCCCACCAGAAAGACTGAGGAACGCTCCGCCAGGGCCAGGCCTTTGTAGCGATATCAGGGTCCGTTGCGGATTCTCTGTACCGAAAGGTATACAGACCTTTAATACGCCCGGGTTGTCTGTAAGGCGCGGAGTTGTTCCTGAGAGCGCTAGAAATGAGGTTTCTGATGACTTTGGCGGCCGCGCAAGGACTGCTGTCAACATGGTCCGAGACGCCCATGGCTTTTCAGTGATTTTGGAGGGCGAATTTCGTGTATGGGATGATGGGAGCGTATCGTCTGAGACAAAGAAAAAAACGGTGGCTGCGGTTCTGGAATCTGTACCACTAAGCTCTGCCGTTGGGTTGACGGCGATGAATGTATCTGAGAGCTCCCATCGTAGTCTAGCTGCAAAGCCCACCCGGAAAAGCGCATATGTGTCATGCTGCGAGGGGCGTTCCAAGAGAGCCATGCTGTTGTGCTCTCCTGGCACACAGTCTCTACGCCTCTGAGGGAAGTAGAGTTGCAACTGCGTCCCAGAGCGAGCAGAAAATGCGCTGTGGAGGAAGGTCCGCAGGCGTTGAGACAATTTTCGCGCGCCCTGAGTTGAGAGTGCTTCCCAGATATATCTGGGCTTGCGGTCATCCGCCCCTTTTATGGGTGTGTCGCATACACAATACATGTTTAGAGATCCAGTATACTGCGCAAGTAATAAGGCGCGCTTGACAAAAGTACACTCAGCTAAAAGAGGGCCCGCGTGGAAGCCGAGGGGTATCATGAACCGAACCTGATACCACCTAATGCACACATCTGGTGCGCTGTCCTGAGATCACGAGTATTTGAAGGCGAAACTGGATTTGACGCAATAAAACGGTGCACGGCCGACATGCACTATTGTTAGACAATACGGAGCATGTCGAATAAACCGGAAAAAATGACTTCTTGGTAAACGTGTAGAATAGCTTTGGCCTTCATGACACGTCACGCACACCTGGCGTCTGGCCTTGCTTGTTTCGTACAATGCTTACTTTCGAAGGGTAGTCGTCTGAACTCTTCGTTTAGTTGTATACAGACTCTGCGAGGTTGGTTTAGTGTGGAATTAAAATTTTCGACCTAGAAAGACAATGAATTCTAAATATGTGCAAACACTTTACAAGCTAGTTCCAGGCCTGCTGCAATGATCGCCCGTGGCATGCCTTGAGCTCTTGGTGCTAGCTCCGCTGCATTCTCATCCCGAACATGGTGTATACCATCTAATTCGACATACTGAGGATGTTCTGGGCTGCTTGTACAGCTGCGGAATCGTCCCCAGCGTTGCGTGCCACATCTGCCGCTGCACCACTGAAAAGAGACAAGAGCTCATGCCGAGCCAGCTTTGTTCTGCCAAGATTCTGCTGTCCCTTCTCACCGAGTGTGCCATTTGCCATGCTTCTCTTCTTCTCGCAGATCTTGTATATTGAATCCTCAACCGTGCCCTTCATACGAAAACGTATCACGTGAACCGGCCTGGTCTGCCCAATCCTGTGGACCCTATCTATCGCTTGCTCCTCTACTGCTGGATTCCACCATACATCACACAAAATCACTCGGTTGCTCGCCGTTAGGTTAAGGCCAGTCCCGCCAGCATGCAATGAAATCAAAAAGACATTTTTCTTGGTGCTCCTTCGAAACTCCTCAATCTGCTTTTGCCGAGCTGAAACAGTCATTGAACCGTCAAGCCGGCAAGTATCGTGTCCACTCACCCGTGCATGGAACTCTACAATATCTAACATTGATGTCCACTGAGAAAATATGAGGGTTTTCTCGCCATTTCCGCTCTCTCGCACCTTGTCCAATTCCTCGATAATCACCCTAACCTTCGTTGAGTGCTGAGCCAAGGCGTTCAGAAGCTTTTTCTTGCTCCGCACGAACCTTCGCTTCTTTCGTAAGGCATTCTCTTGCTTTGATGAAGACATTGCGTGTTGATCTGTGTCAATGCCCCGCACAATTTCTTCTCCGGATTCTTGTGTTCCAGATTCATCTTCGTCATCGTTGCTGGTCGAGACTTCGGCAATGCCCCTGCGACCGTTATCGCGCTGTTTCCTTCTAAGCTCTTCTTTCAACAACGCTTTAAATTCAGCTACAGTTACATTCGTGCCACCAGAAGCCCCCAGGATGGTTTGTGCATGAATTTCTCTCCGCAAGTGGTCGACATTGAGAAACGTCTCCGTGCTATCACGGTCGGCGGTACTTTTGTTGCATTTGGGGCAGTGACCTTGGTGCTGGACCGCTGTGCAACAACCAGGGCATATGATTTCTCCGCAAGGCAAGGCAGTTCCATCCTTCCACACGCATGCCTTTGCACAAAAAGCGCATAGGAATGCCAGTGCTGCTGCTTGTCCTCTAGGGGGAGGTTTTAGGAAGTCAAAGATCAACTCCCGATACTTTTCGTCTAAAAACTCCAACAAGGAATGACCAGAGGACGTCAACTCCAGGGCTTCTTCAAGATCTTCTTGAGTATATGTTGTAGCGTACATGGTGTCATTGGTCTCACCAATGTGGCCACGAGTCTGCATCTGAGCGTAGTGAATCAAAAACGGATGGCTTGAGGCTTGTCGCAGCCTTAGGAGAAGAAGCAGAATATTACTGTAGTTAGCAGAAATACTGCCTTCTGCTAGGAACTTGTTGAATCTTATGACAGTCTTCTTCGCTAATGCGTGATAGAAAGAAGATTCATCCGCTCCATCAAACTCAAGCTGTTTGACCTCCGTGGTGCGCGGTGGAAGAGTAATGAGCGGTTTCCCGTTGAACTCGTCTAGCTTCGTCCGCCGCAACAAGACCACCCCCGTGATAGCCTGAAACTGCTTGAAAGTCCTTTTCCTCACATGTTCAAATGGGGACTCTAGTTTCTTCTTCCAGAGGGTGTTCCACATTTCGTAGTTACGTACAAAATGGTAACGAATGAAGCAGAACAAGGCGTAAAGGTCATCCACACAGTTCTGAATAGGAGTGCCACTGAGACACCAACGCCTCTCTGCATCCAACGACATAACAGCATTCCAGCTCTCTGTGCTTCTGTTCTTGATGTACTGAGATTCATCCAAGACAATTCGTGTCCATGACACTTGACAAAGAGGGCCACGGGCTCGGCATGGGGGTTTCAATTTTGCGGCTTTCCGCATCTCCCATTCAGGGTGGTTCTTCAACACTTTGGGGTACTCCTTCACGAGCGTCGCGTATGTTGTCAAGACAACATCATACTTTTTCAACCTAGATATGCTTCTCTCTCGTTTAGCACCATGGTAAATGCATATTCGAGGCCTATGTGATTCCTCGGTGCGAGTGATCAGCTCTTCTTTCCACTGATTGATTAGGGACGGCGGACATACCACTAGCGTTCGCCACGGCAACGAAGAACGTTCACATAACACAGAGTCATCGATGAAATCAACCTCCGACACGCTGCTGCTTCCAGTACTGACAGAATCGCTTTCGTTATCGTTCGAAACTTGTGAGGTGGTGGCAGCAGAGTGAAGCAGGAGGGCGATCATGGTGAGAGTCTTACCAAGACCCTGATCATCGGCTAGGATGCCACCCAAGCACTCTTCGTCAACGGCAACAATATCTTCATCTGCGTGCATTGGCCTTTCCCGTTTGATCATCCACGCGAGAGCTCTTTTTTGATGCGGCATGAGTGAAACCTTCAATCCCTCAGGAGTTTCTGCCTCGGCTGTCGCATCAGCGGTGATCTCATTTTGTTTCATAAGCGTTTGCAGCCGCCGTTCTGACAGGCCGTCACGCTCGGGGTCATCTCTACGAGGATGGACTACGTCCAAGTTTGTGGTTTGCCGTCCGAATTCTGTACTTGTCAACTCGAACGGAGAGTTTTGGTGCGAAGGACCAACTGGATTACTGCTCAAGCCACCATGCCCTTCCTGACCTGATACATGCGAGGATGTGAAGTGTATCTTTCTCGTGCCGTGAAACCCTAACGCCATCGCAGTGTTTTCATTTTCTTGCTTTCTTTGGATGCTCTTTGGGTCATCCTTTCCTAGCTCCTGCGCAGCTTCATTTCGCATTTGCCACGAGGGCGTGCCGGCAAAACTTCGATCCTCGCCCTGCTGATATTTCTCGGCGGGCAAACCGTGCAAAAATGGTGCAGAGTACTTGCCTTCGTTCACATGTGCACCCTGACTTGGAAGCGCCCCAATGCCTTCTTCTGTGCTGATTAAGAGTTGATTCTTCTGTAGCTCACTTTCGTCGTCGGAATCGACAATGTTCACAGTCCCGTGCGCATCAACCGAAAAGAGGCCTCCGCCTCGAGATACGTGAATTCTATTCGTCGTATGAATACCTTCAGTAATCCCTGAGAGCACGACAGGTGCTATGAAGCGTGGACGGACTTGTCGCGACTGGCGAGTAAGCGGTGGAAGGGCCGACAGAGAACGCATTTGCACTTCGTCGTCAAGATCAATCACCATAGGTGATCGCGGTCGTTTTGCGCAATTCGGATTTAGATCGACTGCCGTCTCTGGCCTTGCATCTTCGTGGTAGCTGCCATCTATAACAGAGACCCCTACCTCATTACCGCTATCGCTAGGCAATGCGCTACATGGCGTTGTCCTTCTAGCTTCTCGTAGAGTATTACTGGAAGAAGGTTCCTTACTTGCTGTCGCTGTACCAGATGGACAGGGGATAGAAGCAAAACCTTTCTCAGTTCGGGAGAGAGACGTGTTCTGCTGAGAAGCACTGTGCGCCCTCAAAGCAGCGTTGTCCTCATACTTCACGGGCTGAAAGGTCTTGAACTCTGAATCATTCAGCCCGGAGAACTGCTGCGCTCTCGTAATGCTCGGTCCATGTCCTGCGTAATATAAGTCGGTTTTCGTGGCGTTTGGGAATTGCTTTGTGTCAGGATGCAGAGTCACACGACTTTGCCGGTTTGACGGTGTCTCGCCGGAATGTTCTCGCGCACAACCCGCAATGCCCAGTGGTTCTGGTAGTTCGCGCATTGGCTTTGGAGAGGGTAAAGCTAGATTTAGGTCTCCGCAAGCGACATCCGCAGCCTCAGACCATTTCTGGCTTGTTGTCTCGCCGAAGCAGCCACCTTGATTGGTTGAGACTGCTGTTGGCATATAAAACGCCGAAGTGTGCCTTCCATTTTGAGGGGTTCCTGTCTTGATGTTCCCAGGGAAAACTCCGTTCCCGGTCATATTCGCGATTGTTGAAAGGTCTTGTTTTGTTTCTAGTTGCAAAGCAGGAAAGTCAGAACAGTGGTCTTTCATCTCGTTTCGCTCATTTCGCCGGTATTCACTTGCAGTGCTCTTCGGGGCAATGTCCAGGATATGTGAGGCCACCTCGGATTCGAGGGTATTTAGATTCACATCTTTGGTACGGGCAGTCAATGAGTTAAGTTCTAGACGAACAAGATCTCCATCTACTTGCTGCACACTCTTTGAAGAGGGATGCGAGGTTGTGTCGAAAAATTCTTCGCTCATGGGAGGGAAAACAGCGTCAAGGCTGCGACTAAGAGGCACAACCGAAGCTGGCTTCCATATCTTCATTGCGTCGAACTTCGGTACGGAGGAACCGCCTTCTTCATCGCCGGAAGAAGGTGCGACTGTAGAGATGTTGGGGAGCGGTTGCAAGTTTTCGACACCAGGCCGTGATGAGTACGGTTCTCGAGGTTCATCAATGGATGGGACCATCCCGTCAGCAGCGGGCTGCATGTGCGAATGACCAAAGCTGCGTCCTGGAAGAATTTCGCGTTCGAATTCCGATGAATTCCGGTTGATCGCTGCAAAAAAAACATTCTTATCTCTGCTGACGGCTTGCGGTTGAAGTTGGGAGGTTGGAGGCAATGAAGATGTCACTGCATGTGTCATCGGGTTCTGATTCGGAACTTCTTCGTGGGGAGCTGGAGAAGTTAGTATGTCCATGCCGCAAGTTGCTTAAAAAAGGGTGGATGACTGTTGTTCGTGGAAGGCACTGAAGACCGCCGCTATTCCGAGGTCGCACCGGCGCCGCGAGCCATGGCAAGACAGCCTTTGGCTGTTATGCGAAGACTCGACTGCGTTGCGTGCACTAGCCTCGAATAAGGATTGCGATGATGTTTCAAAAAGAGGGCTTGTCAATAGAATTGACAAAAGCTTTACGGCCTCCGACGACAACGTGAGCTTGCAGAGCCCCGTAGGTTTTTGGCTGGGAACGATGTAGCGCTCGGCCCGTGCCACTTTCAAATGAACTTCTAGGCTGTTCGGGGGGGCTTTGCCGCCTCAGCCCAAAAGCCGGGATTCCGGAAATTCAGTTGCCCCAGACAGGTGCGTTGGAAATTTTCCACCTGATTGGATGATTTTCTCAACTTGATATAGAAACGATCAACCAAAAGTCTACAAGTTTTTGTCCGTCAGGGGTCGGCCTTGAGGGTCGTAAAATTGCACCAGCAGCCAAGGGTAAAGTTACTGGACGTACAGTAAATAAAAAGTTGGCCTTGTTTCACCATTGTCTTTCCCAGTCTTTCCAACAGAGAACATTGCAACAACATTGCAATAAACCACTATGAAAACAAGTTTTGGTCACGCAAAGCCTGTGACGCGATATTTGAGTCAGTTCCAAGAATATACAGGAGGGGGACTCGCATTAGTGCCGTTTTTATTATTGCCACCCTCCCATTAGTGCACCCCCGGACGCGTGAACACGAAAAGTGCCACGTGTTATACGGGTCCAGCTGTTAGGCTGTCTCCCGTCCGTGTCAAACACAAAAAGCCCTTTTTAGCCCGATCCTCCTCAAGCTACTGCACACCGTCCACCGACTTTAGCTTGTAGTCGTTATGGCTCCGGTTCCAGAAAAGACGAAAGCGACTCGCAAGCGTCTGACCCATATCGCAGAAGCACGAAATCGCAGATCTGCTCGACTGCTCGACAATGGATACCGTACCACAGCCGTTATGCGACAGTTCGGCATTGCCGAGCGGACCGTACGAAACATCAAGGCAACTGCTCCCGCATTGCTCCGCGTAGTCAACCAGAAGCCCCAGTCACTTCAAGCGAAGACCCGCCAGTCCATTATGGTCCCCCATCTCGAACTGAAGCTCCTTGAATTTCTCAACTATGCCAGATCAGCAAAAATGCCAGTAACACAAACTGTCCTACAAACGCGGGCCCTCATGATTAAGGAACAAATGCTCAAGTTTCAGGTTACAGGTAAAGATCGCACCACGCTTGACAAGTTCACAGCATCTCGTGGATGGGTAGAGAAATTTGTCAAGCGACATGCTCTTCGTTCTGTAGCCCTGCACGGGGAGGGAGGGCAAGTACAAGTGCAGGAAGTCGCAAAAGACATCAACATCCTGCGATCACGTTTGCGCAATTTCGAGCCAGAGAACATCTACAATGTCGACGAAACAGGCCTGTTTTTCAAGCTGCTACCTCGACGCAGTGCGTGCGGTGCGGAATCCACCTGAAACACAATCAAGTGATGAAGATGAGAGCGCTGGGGGTACGATAGGAAGAAGCGCTATACCCTCTGCGCTGGAAATCGCGGAATTGTTTGGAGATCTGGAACTTCTGGCATCTGAGTGCCAAGTTTCAAACGCTTTATCGCATCTAAGGTCAGCAAAGCGCGCGTTTCTCACTGCAAAACATGATAGAAAACCAACGCCGATCAGGCAGATGTTAATTTCCGAGTGCCTGTAAATGGATGTGACGGTGTCACTTACTAATGCCACCCTCCCAATAGTGCCGTTTTTGGGGTCTCACACGGGGCGGCACTAATGCGTAGGGTCCCCTGTACTGTATTATATGTTATGAATGGTTGATTCCTGCTTCGGTTCCCGGTTTGGCCCCGGGGTGCATCCAGGAAATGAAATTCTGCCACTTCGCTACTTTATGTACTGTACCCTTGGGTACAGTATACCGTATTATGCAGCAATTGAAGCCAGGCTGCTCTACCGAAATCTTCCCTACTGTGAATGTGTTGGCGTCATCACTGTCCTCTCGCATTTCCATAGCCAAAGCGCAATCCGCTTGCTGCACGAGCTGTGCAGTCAACTATGCGGAACGATGCATGCCTCCAGATTCGTAAGGGCTAAACCGCAAGAGCTGCGACGCAAAATGTTGTCTGCCAGCAGTACCTCCGCCGGCAGTACCTCCGCCGGCAGTACCTCCTCAGTTGCCCCGCAGAAGTTAGGAAGGGTGGTTCTGGCATGCACCTCTGCGAACATAGGTGGGCTATTAGCTGGTCTTCAACTGGCACTCTTTTCTGGGATTTTGGAGATGGGTTCTTTCAGAGACGCCATGTCACCGCAGCCGGTAAACTCTAGAGCAAAATCAATAATTACAGCAGCTCTCATTGCCGGAAATATCATCGGTACACTTCCGGCCGGACCTCTCTCCGATCGTGCAGGTCGCCGGCCAGCCCTACTCGTATGTGCAGGACTATTTACATTGGGGGCGCTCATCATGGCGAATGCGAAAGCCCTCTTTCAAATATCAATTGGTCGTCTAATAGCAGGTATAGCTCAATCCATTGCTAATGTTGTTGGTCCGATGTATTCGGCTGAGTTAGCGCCGCCGCATTTGAGAGGGATGATTGTCAACATATTTCAGCTGTCGATTACTATCGGAATTTTTCTTGCGCAACTGATAAATTGGACAGTCTGGGCGGATGATGCATGGACTCGTCCACTAATGTTTGCTATATCATCAGCAGTCGTTATGTTTTGTGCAGTTCTGGCGTTTGTGCCAGAGTCGCCTAGTTGGCTCGCGGCCAAGGGCCGAAGAGTTGAGGCGCTTTCTGCTTCCCGTTGGCTAGATGCAGTGCCCCCCGAAGCAGACACAGCGGAAACAGCTGAAACAGGTGGCATTGGGGGGCTCGAAACGCATTCTGGACGTACTTCCCTCATGAAGTTATTGAGAGATGCATCTAGTAGACGAAGGTTGCTCATTGGGGCAGTATTAAGTGCCGCTCAACAAATGACAGGGATCAACGCTGTTATCTTTTTTGGACCGGCTCTTGTGGCAGATGTACTCAAGCTATCCGGATCTGCCGCTCCTTTCAAAGCAGCAGCAATTGTAGGATTTGGCAATTTTTTGGCTACAGTGTTGTCCATGGGAGTAATTGAACGATTTGGGAGACGACAACTGTTGCTTGCTACAGGACCGCCGATGATCTTTTCACTTGTGACGATTGGAATGATGCGGGATGGTTTCATCGGAAGAAGCGGAGCTGTTGGGGTATGCGCACTGCTTGTTTTTATCTGTGGCTTCGCCTTAGCGTACGGGCCCCTTACGTTTGTGGTCCAGTCGGAAATATTTCCCGTGAGCTATAAAGGTACTGCTATGAGCTTTTGTACTATGGTCTTGAGCTTTTGCGCGCTAGGTGTAGCCACTGGATTCCTTCCACTGTTGGAGCGATTTGGCGGCGGGATTTACTATTTTCATGCAGTCTGTATTGTTGCTTCCAGCATATTCATCGCAGCTTTTGTTCCGGAAACTCGAAGCTTATCGCTATCCGAAATTGACCGGATGCTCGGTTAAGTTTTAACAAGTCCATATCAGAAACTTCGTGTGTGATTACTAACAATTCTCTTAAAAAAACCACGATGATGAGGAGAAGGAAGGGGGGGAGGTTGGGGTTGCGATATTCGCGAACAGGGTGGATGATTTTTCCAGGGATGCGAGCTAAACCACAGGTGTTAATGTCACACTTATATTGGATCGGAGAGAAAGCATGCCAGCAAGGGTGGTGGCGAAGAGTTGCGAGAACCTGCGATGGATAGGTGCAGATACAATTACAAGCAACAATCGGTCCCACTTCTCGGACACAAGAAGTTGACATATAACCGAACCATCCCGATCCCCGGAACTCAGGCCGCGAGAGTGCTGAGGTGATGAGTCCTTATGTCCGCATAACATCATACATGCCAGTTCAGAAATGACGGTAGCAGGGAACGTGGCCCTGTTGTGGGTCCATGGCAAACACTGCACGCGGCTGGTGATAAAGGGCGGGGGTGAAATTGGATTTCAGTTTAGATCGCAAGTGAACGTCAAGGAGCTAACACTCCGCTTTTGAAATCAGACTATTTTCGATTGAACACTGCTTTAGCTGGCGAAAAAAGATATGGTGCAGCTGGGGGTGTTTTGATTAAAAGGTGATTGTTAGCATGGTGCTCAAAATAACAGCTCCTGAGTGCAGGGTACAGAATGAACCTGACGATTACGCATATGGAATTTTTTTTCCGGCGTGAGAAACAGTTCTCGCAAATACGCAAGCGGGCCGCTGAAGCTAGGAGGACAGAGATATAGCATTGGCTGGATGGATGTATCTCAAAAAGAAGGCTAGAGTTTTTCTTCTCTCTCTGCATTGTGGACAGCTTCATGCAAGCGTTGAATGCTCATACCGCACATTGCAAGCATCACATGTCTTTCTATTTGAGATGTTTTCTGGTGGCTTTGAAGATTGGCAACAATCGAGGAGCAGTTGTTCACTATGGGCATGTAGCGTCGAGGCCTCATAGCAACCGTACCGCAATCAAAATGTGAAGAAAACCAAACATTTCTCGGCAATTGCGAGTGAAGTGAGAGAACGAGGGAACGAGGGAACGAGGGAAAAGTTGCAGTGCTTGGGACAGCAGAAGGGTGAGTCGATTGACACGACTTGAGGACGCGCACAGCCACTTGAGCCCAAAGACGATTGACGTGGCATGGCCATGGGACAGGCTCTCAGAGCCTGTCACGTGGAAACATTTTTTCTACCGGGAGCACTCAGCAGAGAGTGGTCACAGGCCCTTTGGCGTGCCTGAACAGAGCTTGTACTGCATTGCTACGGGATTTGAAATTTGAGAATCAAAAAATTGGAGCCAATACATGACACTGATTGGATGATCTACTCGGGCACCGGAAAGCAGGGCGGATCCCATTTGTCACTTGTACTGTAATTAACACCTCGATTTTTCCGTGAGCAGCCGTGACCGCAGAAAGCCCACATTACAGACACGCCCTCGAGAGGCGTGGCCCCACCATCCGGGGGAGCACGTGCTGTGTGGCTTTGCGCAATACCGCTTCCCGTTTCTACCACTGTGCCCAGTGGGCACTGCCCACCTTGATTGGCTACAATGCTTGCGCATCCCCAGGCCACCCTCTTGACTGCGCCGCAATCCATGAGTGCCCCTCCCCACCACCCGACTTCTTCCAGATAACTCTTGCCCCCGTAACAAGACCGCGCACTTCCCCGCCTCCCCCACATCACCACCACAACTCCCCCCCGCCCCGGCCAATTCTACTTTCCATCAACATGTGCCAGCAAGAGGTCCGCCGCGTCGAGAGGAAAGGTTCCGCCTTCTCCACGGACCCCCCTTCCCCTACTTCGGTCACCAAGTCTTCCAAGGAGCGCATCGTTTCCTGGGGCGAACTCTCTTTGCACAACACCGTCGAAGACTCCTGGATCGCCATCAAGGGTCGCGTGTACGATGTCACGAACTTTGCTAAATTCCATCCAGGCGGCGACATCCTCTTCACCGCCTCGGGCCTCGACGCCACTGATGTCTTCGCAGGCTTTCACAACTTGACTGATGCGTGGAAGCTCTTACCACCGCTCCTCGTCGGAACACTTGAGGATGCGAACAATCCCCCGCTTCCCAATGTCGATCCGCAGTATGTCCAGGACATCGTCGAGATGAGGAAGCAGATCAGCGCCCTGAAGTTGTACGATTCAAGCAAGCTGTACTATGCGTACAAAATAGCCAGCAACGTCGCGCTTTGCTCGTTATCTGTCGCCATCGTCATGTACTCGGGTTCGTGGCCCGCTATCGCGATTGCTGCGTTTATAATGGCTCTGTTCTGGCAGCAGTGCGGCTGGTTGGCCCACGATTTTCTGCATCACCAGGTGTTCAATCGTAGGTATATCAATAACCTCTTCGGTCTTTTGATCGGGAATATCTTTCAGGGCTTTTCCGTCGGCTGGTGGAAGACTAAGCACAACCATCACCATGCCGTCCCGAACGTGACCGACGCGCCCTCTGGCGGAGATCCCGATATCGCCACGACGCCGATCCTCTTTTGGTCTGAGAAGCTCATCGAGGGTGAGCTCGAGGACCTCCCACTATGGATGCTTCGAAACCAGGCAGTCTTGTATGTCCCGATTTTGTGCTTCGCCCGTATTTCCTGGTTGGTACAATCGATTCAGCATAACATCCCGAAGCCGAACCCGAACATTACTAGCAAGGTCATGTATTATTCAGAAATTGCTACTCTCTTTGTTCATCACTCCCTCTTTTTCGCACTCGTCGTGAAAGTCGGCATGATGTATTCCGTCCCGAAAGCCCTATCCTACATGATGATGAGTCACGCTTGGGGAGGTATTCTACTTGGTGTCGTATTTGCCGTTGGACACAACGCCATGGACGTCCTTACACTGGAAGAAATGCGTGAGGTCGACTTCATCCGGCTGCAAGTACGCACCACAAGAAACGTTGACCCGAACTGGTTCACCGACTGGCTTTGCGGTGGCCTTAACTACCAGGTGGAGCATCACATCTTCCCATCTGTTCCCCGTCATCATTTGTGGAAGCTCGCCCGAATTTTGAGAGCATTTTGTGACAAGCACAACATTTCCTACACATCCAAGACACTCGCAGACGGAAACAAGGATGTCTGTCAAATTCTGCAGGACGTAAGCAAGGCGGCATAACCGCGACAGACTCTTTGCGCACGCCGGGTAGGGTTAGATTCTTCGTACATAGGTTGCTGTATTATTCATAGTCACATAGGACGCATGTGTCGATCATGCCTTTTGCAACGTCGCAAACTAAAGACAAGATTCGCTCGTTCTAAGAGCTACTGGACCAAGTTAGGTTTCATGTTAACGCAGTGCATTCGTTTAACCGGAAAGCACAATAACTTCTTCGAAATGGTCTACATTTTGCCTTGGCGATTGTGAAGGATACCTGAACGCCCGGAACGTACATAGTGCCTTGAAAGAAGGAATGTGCGGTTCGTGTCTACAGTTCCGTGGCAAGAAGCCGCAAGTTTCGATGTCAGATTTACAAAATAAGGTTATCATCTTCGACTCTATTCCCATTCAAAGCACTGTGGTCCTGGGCACTGTGGTCCTGGGCACTGTGGCCCTGCTCAGCACTGTTCTCCTGGATACTAGTCTCGGTGTTACCCTCATATGATGGTTTCTTGACATCCGCAATACTTGTAGCGACCTCCACGAGCTCCCCTTCTTTCCCATTCGCGCTCGAACTATCAGCGACCAGCGAGGAAATCGCCTCGCGATTTTTTTGCTCCAAAGGTTTTGGGCTTTCACCTTCATGTTGGTGTTGTGTTCTATATTTGTCAGATGACATTCTCTGCTCTGCATGAATGGTGTCCTCGGTGCCGTTCAATTTGGCTGCCGTCTCTTTGCTTAGCGCGACAGGCACGAGGGTCTCCCCGAATACTTCGTTCAGTACTCTCTGTACTTCCGCAACGTCGACGAGCCCATTGCGGTCCATGCAGTGGTCTAAACACCTTGCGGCATGTTGCACGCAAAGGTCCCGAAGTGATGCTGACATTGCAATAAAATGCTGTCGATCTGAGCGTTTCAAAAAGGCACCACCAGGGCCACCGACTGCGCTCATGTATTCCCCTGAACTAATCAACGTTTCCTGCAATGACTTTCCCAGCTGTGTACCAAGTGAAACGGGAGCACAAAGACGCAGCTCATTCAAAGCGGCCAGGATCCCATTGAGAAACACGGCGAGTGGAGGACTGTCGAGCACGCTTAGCGGCGGGTCATACTGTTCGTTTGAGTCGTTGTCTGTTTGGCCACTCGACGCCTGCTCGCTCGCTAATTTGCTTGTCGCATCGAGTCCTGCATACGATTGCCTTCTAACTTTTCGCAAGGCTGATGATCCGACTGGAGCCCACCTGTTATCTTCTATCATCATCTCAAACTGACGAAGTGCTGCATTCAAATGAGAATTGTATATTCGAAGGACCGCTTCTTCAAATATAGGGGGAAGGGCAGCACGGAAGTCCGCACCGACTCTTCCAAGAGATTGCCCGCAATACATAGCTTGTTGCAACACCGTATTGAGCGCAGCGCCGTCGCGAACATCCTTGATCCCCGATTCAACTCTCAAGAGATAATCGGACACACATGAAGAAGTCCAATCAAACAGAATGGCAGATGAGTGGGTGCTACACATCATGTCCTTGCTTCTAGTTGCATTTGTGAGGTCGTCGTCGTCGTCGTCGACATCGTCGTTGAATACCGCTCGATACTGCGTTATGATTTCGAATACCATTGCGCGAGTACTATCGCTAAGACTGACGAGATGCGCTTGTTCTGAGGTGGCCGTGGTAGATTCAATGCCAGCACGCATCCACTCTCCTCTGCACTGCAAGAAAAGCATTCTTAACCGAAACTCTGAAAACACTCCCAGGCGTCGGAGGAACCCGACTACGCGTAGGCACATAGGGAGCTGAACAGGATTCCTCAGCAATACGAGCAGTTTCAAAATCATCTGCTGCGTCAAGATGTCTACTTCTGCGTAAACGTTGCAGACGAGGCTGTCACTCGGGTGCATTGTGGCAAGTTTAACAGCGTTTTCTCTTAGCTCCAGTGCTTCATCATAAAGCTCTGCCGCAATTAATGTTCTCATGAGTCGAGGCATCTCAAGGATATCTGCAATTGCCCTGTGCTCTGTGATTGCCCTCAACTTTTTCTTCCTGTCAACTTGTTTCTCATTTACATTCACTGAGAACTGCTTGGTCGCGTGGGCAAGCTTCGGCAAGGCCTCTACGAGCCCGTCCAGTCTAGAGCGCACATCAGCGACGCCGTCTCGAACTGCACCAGCGCACTCGAAACTCTCGATTAGGGCCCTGTAGTTGCCACAGCTAACTTCTTCTAGATCGTTTTTCAGTCGTAGGCTGGTCGCTTCGAGATCGCCCGGCTCTTTTGAAAGCTTCTCGACGCCGTATGCACAAAGCTCATCTATGTATGCATCGAAACCATGCCAAGTATCAAGCGGAGGTGCATCCGGGCCGATGTCCTCAAGAACGAACTGTCGCAGCGTCTTTAACGCCTCCGCAGCGTCCGCCACTGGGTCAAGCGGAACTATTGAATCCTCCCCGCTTTTCGAAGTAGATTCCCCGACAGCATCTGTAGTTTCTTTCATGGCATTTGATGCCTGTGACTGGCTGCAAAGCTTGACCTTGTAGCAAAACAGTCGTCGGTGCACGTCCGTAAAGCGAAAGATGCTTCACGATACCGCCCTGGGGCCATGACAATGACTGCAATTTCCTCGATTCTTACACCGGCTCTGCGTGTTGTGGTTCATGCAGACTACGGTAGCCTTCATAGCCTCCCAAACTGTTAAAAATTTCACAACTTTTTTGAGATAATTTTAGTACTCTCTCCTGTCGGTACAGTATGGTGACACCGAATTTGATGTCGCGCTCCTGTCAAACCGTCATACTGTCGCACAAGACCTGTTCATGATGACTCTCCAAATCTGCGGAGCGGACTCATCACTCCCCTTGACGAGGGTATTGCGTTTTTGAACAACCGTTTAAGTCCGCTCGAGCCAGAGTTAGTGTGTAAATTATCTCGCTATGTTGTACATAGCGGCCTACATTGTAACTTTGCAGTTTGGGGCATGGCAATGAAGTACCAGCTTTGATGACAAAACAGTTTACGAAACATTGCCCATGAACTTAACTTTCATCTGCTCACTTCTGGGGAGCTCTCGACAGCGGAACAATAGGGTTCGGGTATGTTTTGCCAGGTGTTACGTTCAAATCCTCAAGTTCTGCTTTCGACAACGTATGTGGTTCATGCTTCATCGGGACCGGGATATCCACTAGTTCTGGTACCCATCTGTTGAGAAATCGCCCTTCAGGATCGTACTGCATGCTTTGCTTCACGACATTGAACTTTCTCCCACCTCGTGGATCACTCCCGACACCCGCGAGATATGCCCAATTTGCCCAATTAGAGGCAACATCATGGTCTATCAGCTGGCTTTCAAGGTACTCAGCACCTGCTCTCCAGTCCGGATATCCGAGGTCATGAATTAGGAATGAAGCCACATTTTGACGACCGCGATTGCTCATGAACCCAGTGCCCGCCAACTCTCTCATATTTCCATCGACAATTGGCGCACCGGTCTTTCCATCAATCCATTTTTGCAAGCGATCCTTGTGAAGTGGCTTAATGAGATGCCACGGGATGCCCCAAATACTCGCCTCGTTCTTCCCACGACCAGAGTAGCCGTTCAAAGCAAACAGTTTTGTACCCACAGATGCTGCGATCCAACGAAAGTAGTCTCGTGTCATGAGTTCAAATACCATCCAGTATGTGGACTCATTCTTCTCACGCTTTTCTTCATAGCTCTGACACTCCCAGTACACAGTTCTTGGTGAAATACACCCCAAGGCTAACCACGGAGACAATTTTGAGGACCCATTTTTTGTTCCTGATTCGTTCCTTGTTTCTTTGTACGTGCGCAATGCGTCAGCTTTCCAAACAAACTCATCAAGTCTCTTTTCTGCCTCTTTGAGCCCACCGATAAAATCGACACAAGCAAGAGGATGTGGGTAAGGATGGTCGTTCGGCTCGGCCAAACCAGCAACCTCGAGCTCGTCGCCGAGAAGAGGCATTTCATCAGACGGAATGCCTATATGCAGAGGGTACGGCTTGAAACGTCCTGGCATTTTTATCTCTTCCCGAACTGTGGCTCCGTTCCGGCCCTCTATGAGCTTACGATATGCAGTGAACGTTTCTGGGACTCCAGGTCCACCGGCATTAAAGGGCAAGTCATCTAAATGATGTAACGTCGCGCCCCAAACAAAGTGGATATCGACATCAGCGTGCATTTCCTCGCCAAGTTCCCTGAATGCTTTTTCCATGCGTTCCTCTGTTTTATTCTCCTCCCAAGTGACCTCCTTGTGTGCCACCATCCTCAGGGGTTTAAATCCCTCTTCGATAAGCTGTCTTGCGACTGGCATGATTTCGTCAACGGGATCACCGATTTTCACGACCAAATCGCTACCTCGTACGCGGAGTGCTTGCTGCATTTCTTTCACTGCTTGCTTCTGGAAGTCAGCTCGGAAAGGACCTGTACGCTGGAAGCCATGCGGCGAAAGGTGATCCGGGCCGTATTGAGAAGTGTCAAATACATAGAAGGGAACAAGAACAGACGCCGTGTCGGCGAGTGCCAGAGCGGCATGATCTCGCACGCGCAAGTCGTTTCGAAGCCACACCATTGCACATGAGTCCGAGGGTAGTGTCGCCGGAGCGGGAGACGGAATCACCGGATCTCCAGCAAATGGGTCAACTTGTGCTCTCGGAGCCGCATTCCTACGGTTTCCGCCATAACGTCCACGACCACCACGATTGCCTCTGCGCCCGGACGAACTCCTGGTATAGCTTTGCCCCACCCGCGAATTGTTGGCCTCTGCGTTGCGATTTGCGAAAGTCCTTGGCATTTGGACAAAAAGTTGACACTTGCCGTTTCGAGGCGAGAAGAACGTCGACAAGAATTTCTGGTTTAGAGGAAGTCCTGAGGCAAAAGCTAGGAGCATCGCAGGCATTCTACCACCAGCTGAAGTAGCTCAGTCTCTAGGTCGTTTAAATGGGGAAGCTACGTAAATGGAGGCGCCCTGTCGATACAAGACTGTCACGGGGCGAATGTGATGGCGTAGGTGAAGGAGAGAGAGAGTGTACATGAAGTGGGGCAAGGCTGGCCAGGTTGAGCCGTTGAGTCTGGATGTGCATAGATAGAATGAAGAAAATTTCGGCAATTGGCCCATCAATCGTAACAATTGACCCAAATGACGCGTCTTTTCCGTAGACAGTTCTCATCTCCAGCACTGTGATCTTGGCGCACAAAATGAACATGAGATCCGAAACGCACACGTGTTACACTCGCTGCCGAAGATGTACCAGCACCTACTCTGCGACCCCGTGTTGTGGATGCCGCGTCTACGGCAGATTCCTTCAGGCATGAGCGATGACCTCATTTGGTGCGGCACAAGAGGCAATCGAATAAATGTGCAATTGATATTGTTGTCATGGCTTTGTCCAAATCAGGAGATGATAGTCCCCTCGAAACAATGCACCATTCAAACCGAAAGTCCTGCCGTGTAGCACTCTCTCCGTCCTAGATGAGCCAGCGGTGCATACACTTTGGGCGTTCAAAGTATTGTATGGAAGTAACTGCAGGAGCAAGTTAATGCGATTCAGTTCAGTTAATTTTTCTTGGTCTTCCGTGTTCGTTTCTCCTGCTCCTGAGATACTTTCGCTGCGAGTCTCTGCTTCGCTTGAGTGTGCGCCTTTGATGGTCGGGGCGGACATACCGTAATCTTGCCGTCGATAATTTGCTGGACAAGGTCCGTCTTTCCACTTTTCCCTCTAGCCGGATTGGCACCATACTCGGCAAGGATAGCGTCAAATTCCTCATCCGAGTCACCAGTCTTCCGGCTCTTTCCGCCGCGCCTCTTTTTCTTTTTCTTGCTTCCTTGACCTGCCGCACCAGACGCAGAACCTGATGGCTGAGCGGCAGGTCCGGGCGCAGCCTCCATGTCTCTGGACTCTTTTGCTAAAGCAACTCTGCGTAGCAAACTATTAATGTCTTCGTACTCTGATGTTTGGGGTGCGTGGGCATCATCACTTCTAACGCCCTCCTGAGCATGTTCATCCTCAGACTCGTTTCCGAGGAGCTCAAACATTCCCCCTTGTGTCGGACCTGGGTCGTGTCTGCTCTCTCCTTCGCCATCTTCCTCTACTACTTTCGATTGATCCCCGCGCCGCTGGCTCCTGCTATCCTTTTTCCAAACCTTAATTTGTCTCGATCCCTCGACGTCCTCTGATTTGTGATTTAAGTTAAACTCTTCGGAGAGTTCGTGAACGAAAAGCCTGCCAATGGACGACAGTGTGCGCGGGTACGTTTTCTCGACCAAGGAATCGTTCTTGGCAAAACTCTCGATTTCTTGACGAAGGCGACTCTGTAGATCATCGCGTTCAGAGTCTGTAGTTGTCCTAGACCATCCTTTCAACTCTGCGGGTGCTGGTTTGGGGATAGACTTGGATTTGGCTTTGATGATCTTTTTTGGACCCTTAACTCGTTTCGTGCCTTTCTTTACGGCCTGAGGCCTGCCCTCGGCATCAATCGCCTCCTTTGGCCTTCTCTGCTGGGAATATGTCCCGACGATGTCAGGAAAGTCAACGACTGCAGACCTGTAGTGTCCATGATTTTCAGAGTACTGGACAACTCGCTCGAGCAAGGGATGAGTGGAAATTGTTTCAGAATCACATACGATCAAAATGCAACGGCGTGCTCGAGTTATGGCCACATTCAGCCGCCTATCATCTTTCAAAAAACCAACGTCTCCTCGCTCGTTACTTCGAACAAGGGACATGCAAACAACTTCCTTCTCTCGGCCCTGAAAGGAATCAATTGTGGCGACCTCTATGCTTCTACCGTGTTCAGGCCATAAGACACGCCGTAAGAGCTCCACTTGCCCGGAATACGGAGAAATCACGGCGATATCCTTCTTAGGGACACCGTTCAGAACGAATTGCGCGACGACCTGGGAGACGATTGCGGCTTCTCCTTTGTTGGACCTAGATGCCACTACGTTGTTGCTTTTAACGAGGGACGGATCCTCGCTGATTTCTTTCGACAAGTCATCCTCCTCGCAATCCCCTCCAGCAGTGTCGATCAGGATAAAGGGATTTACCAAATTCTCATCATCGTCTGCCTCAACGTTGCAGCCATTTATCTCCACTACACGATGATTCGCAACTGATGAATCGGCCACGAGATTGCCCGAGTAGAACTCACCACTGCTCCAAGTCGATATGACGCTGTTCATTCGGTATTGCGTTCGCAGCATGACCACCGCGGACTGCAGCTCGGGAGTGGAGAATACCCGGTCCAGAATACTGGTTTTCAGACCGCGAGCCTCGGCTTCTGCACATTTTACAGTACCGGCCAACTGGTAAGGGTCCCCAGCCAGTACAGCTTTCTTCGCTCGCAGTAGTGGTACCCAGCACGCAGCCTCAAGTGCTTGTGCGGCTTCATCAACAACAACAACGTCAAAAGGCTTCAACCCTTCTGCAATGTCAAGCACACGTGCTCCAGCTCCACTGATCGTAGAAAGAACGACATCGACCCTTGCAAGCAATCTCTGAACCGCAAGCCGCTCCCGCTTCCGCAAATCCTTCCGCAATTCTCTTTGCTGTAGTCGCAGGGATTTCCGTTCTCCGCGATGTTTCGTCTTCACAACTGACGCCTGCAGCTCTTCCAATTCCTTCCTGATATCTCTAGCTAGTGCAGCCTCATCAGTCCTTGCGAGGAGCGCATCCAAGCTATGTTCGATGACGCTTGGCATAATCCGTGCAGGATGCCCTGCTCGAACAAACTTTATTTTGCGGTCGCTTCGAGGTAGTCGTTCCGCAATGTTGTCTACGGCGACATTGGAAGGGGCAGAGACAAGGACGCGGTTTCCTCGCGCGACTTCAGCCAAGATGTAGGCCACAAGCGTATGTGTTTTCCCCGTCCCGGGAGGACCGTGAATTACTGCAAGATCCTTCGCATCCAATGCGCATTGCACAGCTCTTTGCTGTTCCTTGTTGAGCTCAGCGAGTGCCGTATCATCAAGAGATGATTTTTCTTCCGTAAACCGCGGTGTGCGCTCACCCAAGAGGACACGAAGTAGAGCGTTCGAAACGTGCGTTGGGTCAGAATAGGCTTTTTCCAGATTTTCCAACCCAGCTGTAAACCGCTTGTGGGTTACGTTAGAAGTAAGCTTCAGGACAAGAAATAAGGCGGAATGGTCTTCAACTTCGGGAAGAACATCGTCGAGGCTAATAGAGATGGTTGTCTCTTCCATCTTGACCACGACTCCCTCCACAATCCCCGCTGCACCTGCACCGTCACTTTTTCCATGACGTCGAACGCCAACGATGTCCCCCGATGAGATACGCGCGGCAGATATTTCTCTGCCCCCGCTGGTTGAGAGACATATTTGCTGCCTTCCACCGGCATCGGAAGACTCAGACTTCAAAGAAAGGCGGAGAATAGCTTGCTATTTCATTATTTTGAACGACGCGAACAAGATAGTGAAGTAGTTAGAACCTTAAATTTCGCTTTTAAGAGGGCGCGTAAAACGAATGTGCACAAGAAAGAGTAAATGATCTTACCCCGGATGATTGCAAAGCGGAAAGCTTGGCCCCCTCCGTCGCGAGAGATGCCTCCTCCTTTTCTGCCTCTCTCTCCAGAACAAGCAGCTCCTTTTGCAACCCAACGTATGAAGATAGCTTCTCGGACATAGGTGTGGTAGAAGTGCTACGCGTGAAGGTCCAGAGCCTGCAGGATGCCTCAGTCAAAGGTGCACTACCTTTCGTAAGAGGGGAATGGATCAACCTAACCTCTCTCGCGGGTGAGACAAATCGGATGAAGTGAGACCGTGCACAGTTATGATAAGAGAATGGCTCAAGACAGTTTCTCTGAAAGCATTTGCAGTGTAATGCGTTTACACGTGTAAAGTTTACAAAGGGCGACCTCGCCACTGACCCAAAATCTGTTTTTAGCAACTGTCGCGGGCAATTGCTGTGCCACCTAATGAGTGAGCGTATTAGGGCATTGCCTGGCTGATACTGTACCGGTACAGTATCAGCAGTATTGTACAGTAGCATCGCTCGGTGTGGGAATGCAGGCAAGGGAGCGTCTCTTGACTGCTCACCGGACGCTGTACCATGTGCTCCTTGCTTGTGGCTTTGTGCTCGTAGAAAAGATATCATGAACTGTGCATCTGTATCTGAATTTGCACCTGGAAAGTGTACAGCTCATGACCCGATGGACATGACAGTGGCATACTGCATTCATGATAGCTTATGAGACTGAGAAGTCATATCGACGTTCATGCGTCGTCCATTCGATTCCCAACGCAATCGGGGCTGGTTAGATTCGAGTGAACACTTCCTCCCAGTACGAATATTCTCTGTGCTCACTCAAGAGATGCAATGTTCGTCTGCTGTGACGGGCTCGGTGAGATACAGTGCCAAGACGGAGACCGAACTGCAAGGCGAAAGGAGCCCCATAAAGGAAACCAGAAGGCCGTCCGTTCAAGCTTAGAACCACGAAATCAAAGTGATCTTGGCTCTCGTGCTGTGAGATAATGTATTTTAAGTGTTTAAAAATACTTTGCAAGAAAAGCATGAACATGCCAGTGGCCGTAAAAAGTGATGACATTTGTTTGTATGATACTTCTTGACGAGAAGTGTCTGTTTTGGGGATAAACCATTGATCCTAACAAGCGCACATCGATACAGACAGCCCCACACGACATCCACACATTCACCCTACGGTACAAGACGGTCAGCGGCCTGTGAGATAAAACGAGCACGCTTCCGGAAGTTCTCGTAAAGCTGTTGAGACCATCAAGGAGTGCAGTGCGGTACCTGAGTAAAAATATAAATATTCGGGGAATACCATACAGACGGTTTAATGCGAGGTGCGGTTGACTTGCGCCCATCGATTGCGATGCTTCAACGGAATCTGCATCTCCCCGCCTGCTCCATTTTGTCCAATCACATGTGTGTTTTTCGAAGTGCTGCAAAATGATTGGGCACCGGCGTGCACACGTTCCACACAAGCATGACCTTCAAATTGAATCATTTCTCGGACCGCCTTCACGCAAGACACCGAATGAGACATGTCAGCGCATCTCGTGCGCGTCCTCTTCTCCCTTCTCCTCCGCTGCCCGACCCACTCGTCTAGCGCTGTCTCAAACGCACAAACACGCACCCGCTCCTCCGGCTTTTTCTCCCCGCCCTCCATCCCTACCCGCAACCTCCAGTTCGCCTCAGTTCAACCAACCGAAACGCAATCATGTCGTCTGTGAGCCAAGCCCGCGGGCGTCTGCCGACGCTCACTGCCGCCGAAGTGGAGGCGCTCGCGTCGCAGCTACCATTGCGACCGCTAGCCATGGGGCGGCGTCTCGAGCCCGCAGCTCCGCGACGCTCGCGACGCACGGCGGCGCACCAAGCGTCGGAGCGCGCGCCCGTGGTGTCGCGGCGGATGCGGCGGATACACAACGAGGCGCTGCTTGCGCTTTCGGCGGCCCAGCAAGAGGCGCTGGCCGGGAGCTCTGCGGGCGAGACGCGCGAGCTGTTCGAGATGTCGTGGCGTTCGGCGTGGGAGACGCTCGGGGAGAGCAAGGAGCAGCGCAAGGCGTGGGGGCGGTTCGTTGAGATGGACGAGGGCGCGCAGCGCGAGGTGATGGAGGGCGGCAAGAGAGAACGACGCGGCCCTCCCGGGGTGGACGGCAGGCTTCGCGAGTTGGCGAAGAGCCGGGAGGGCCTGGTGCGCAGCATAGTGGACAGGGTGGAGGAGCAGGTGGTCGGGCTTCCGCCGGGCGGCAGTGTGGTGGTGCGCATGGAGGACGCCGTGGGAAGACTGGTGGTGCACGGGGTGGCTGAGTTTCATCGGCTGGCGCATCGCAGCATCGGCACGGGCAGGGATAGAGTTACCGTGATACGCAAGGACTGGAGGGGAGGGGAGGGCCGCGGGGGGCGCAGGCTTATGGACGTGCTCGCGTGAGGTGGGCTTTCTGACGGCTCGCGGTAAAGTTTTTTCGCGACCGGGCGTTTCTGTTTTGTTATAAATAGTAGCGGGGTGCGAGGTGGGCTCTGGAAAGGTGTTCGTCGCCTTGATTCGTCCTTGGTTGGTTTAATGATGATGGACGACAGGATTGGGGGACCGGTTATCGTGGGCAACAGTACAACGCTTGGAGACGTGACGGGTGCGACGACGATGTTAGGGAATCGGAAGGGCAGAGGGGGGGCAAGTTGTACGGCTTGCCAAGTCAAGGATGTCTCGTCTGCTTACTCCGGTGATGCGAAGGAAGGGACGCGAGAAAGGACGGAAGATTGAGCAGCGGAAGCGAATGGGCCGAAAAGGGCAAAAAGCCGAGGCGATTGTATTTGTACTGTCCTGCATCACGACGTATCATGGTATTGTGCTCTTCAGTTTGTGTTCGTCGAGAGTGGTTGCGTGACGGAGACGCGGCGGTGGTGCTTGAATCGGAAGGGCGGGCGTCGAACGGCTCTGCGTAACAGCAGTATGCGAGTAGCACTGTAATGCGAGCAAAGAGGATTGGCGGCAGGGTCCCCTCTCCGGCGGCATCGTGGGAGCGGGCAAGCGAGGCGGAACACGTGGCGCGGGCGCGCGCCGCTGATGTGTCAACAAACACTGCGCATTGGCCCAACACTCCCCCTCTCAGCTTCCCCCTGAATCAATTGTTCCGCCTCTGCATGTAAGCACATGCCGTCACGCAGCCATCGCCGCTGCCCTCCGATCCCGCCCAATTCCATTCGTCACATCCTCCCTCTGCCAAAACCACCGCAGACAGTTACCGTTGTCTTGAGGGGCCTCCCCCCCCCCCCCCCTTTATAAATCCACAGCCCCATCCCGCCTCCTTCGCGTACCCTCGTCACATCAGCCACCGCCCCTCCACCGCCCCACACCGTGCCGCTTCTCTCTCGACTAGCCTCACCCCCCGATCTACCTCTCGCTCTTGAGCAGTTTGTCGATTGTGTTTAATTACCCACTCCCCAGTTATTCAAATGGCTGAGACTAAAAAGCGTGTGTTGGTTACGGGTGCCGGTGGCTTCATCGGAGGACATTTGGCAAAGCGTCTCAAGGAGGAAGGAAACCATGTCGTCGGCGCTGACTGGAAGGCGAATGAATACTTCAAGGTCGAGGAGTTCTGTGATGAGTTTATGCTTCTCGACTTGCGCGATAAGGACAACTGCCTCAAGGCTTGCAAGGACTGTGCCGATGTCTACAACCTGGCTGCCGACATGGGTGGCATGGGTTTCATCCAGTCCAACCATTCCGTAATCCTCTACAACAATGCCATGATCTCTTTCAACATGCTCGAGACCGCTAGAACCTCCGACGTCAAGAGGTTCTACTACGCTTCCTCGGCTTGCATCTACCCCGAAGGTGCCCAGCTTGACACTAAGAACCCGGGCTTGAAAGAATCAGACGCCTGGCCCGCCCAGCCGCAGGACGCGTACGGCCTGGAGAAGCTCGCTTCTGAGGAGCTTGCCATCCATTACGGAAAGGACTTTGGCATGCAGACTCGCGTCGGTCGCTTCCATAACATCTACGGACCCCAGGGTACGTGGAAGGGTGGCCGTGAAAAGGCCCCTGCTGCCTTTTGCCGCAAGGCCATCACTTCGACCAAGGAATTCGAGATGTGGGGTGATGGCGAGCAGACCCGATCGTTCTGCTATGTTGACGACGCCGTCGAGGGTATCATTCGTCTCATGAACTCAGACTTCACGGAGCCACTCAACATCGGTTCCGACGAAATGGTCTCCATGAACGATATGGGTAAGATGGTTCTTGGCTTTGCCGAGAAGGACATTCCCATCAAGCACATTCCTGGTCCCGAGGGTGTGCGTGGCCGCAATTCTAACAATGATCTCTGCAGCAAGGTCCTCGGATGGGCCCCGGGTATCACGCTGCAGGATGGCCTCAAGAGGACTTTTGACTGGATCAAGTCCCAGATTGAGGAAGAAAAGGCTAGCGGTATCGAGACCGACTACACTGTCTCTACCGTTGTCGGCACCCACGCCCCGACCGATTCCAAGGCTTCGAAGCGCAAGTAACTTCCTTGCGTCTTAGCCAACTATTTCGGTTTCACGAGATGCCCGGTTTCGCGCCCGAGAGCTATCGTTTCTATAGCTTGATCAAGGTCGTCTAGTGATGGCACTCGAATGAGACACATGCGCGCTGCACGCCCCTGGTGAATAAAATAGGACACTTACTAAATCCCTCACTAAAGAACACTGCCAACTCATTCTCGTGCGCGCACAATAGCGGTCAGCTGGCTAGTTTACGCGCAGGGTTGCGATTTCTTTAAATAAAACAAAGGTTAACTTAAAAAGCAGATCGTGTCGACCATCAATTCCGTCCATATCAGTTCGCCAAAATGCTAGAAACTTGCTTCTATGGTTTCTAATGTGCAGTCACTACCTCCAAGGATGAACTTATCAAACTGCGAGTTGATCGCATGGACGCAACTATAATATCCTTTCCTCCATAATCTCATGCTTCGCGTCTTCACCCCTGGTCCAAAAGTGATCACGCGTACCCCTGCTCCATGTGCAATCGGAGCTACTACCCTCCAGCCTTGCCCAAGTGGCCCAACCTTGACATCGCAATGTCGTCTTCTGACATGCCATGGCTGATGCATCATCTCACTGGCCGTCCCGTATTCGTCCAACCCTGTTTCAATGGGTCTTGGTCGCTTCAAAGTGATCGACTCCTCTGGGATATGTTCTAGAGCGTGCTTGCTGGCTGCCATGTCTACGTGTCCAACCGCTCCACCAGACGTCTGGTACATCACACATCCTGGTGCTGCCCCTGGCAATGCCTTTAAGAAGGACGGGCGGCGATCCTCGTCGTTTCCAATCGTCACACTTGCAACCTCCTGCTCGCCCCCTGCAGATGAATGTCGCCCGCCAAAAGACTTGATGGATCCGACCTGAATGGGGCGCAACATCCGACGGTCGTGCATATGGATGCTATCCCCGCCAGAACGGTAGATATACATCCCTTGGGTATCTATTACGCTGAACCGCCCCGTCGCACAGAGAGTCGCGATGCCATCATTCTTGCGATGGCTCGCGCGAACATCGTACACCTGGATCATCCCGGAATACAGACTAACTGCAAAGCAATAGTCATCCACGCGCGCTACATCAGAGACACCCGCGTCGATTGAGTTTCTTTGCGTTGTGGTACTCGCCAACCGAATCTTCGTCGTCGGTCTATCCAACGAACATGTCTGCAAGTCGAAAAGCCACATCTGGGGTAGGTTCTCAAAAGCCATAACAACACTCTCGGCGCCTGCCGGAGCGAGCCAAGCGGCTCCGGAAAACTTAAGATTAGTCCTTGGCATTCGGTCGTGTACCGGCTCGAGCGTGAGACGCAAAGATTCCCCGGTTCTGTCTCCTGGTTCATGGACCTCGACGACGGCATCACTACTGGCCACAGCTAGCAGACCGCCATCAGGACTCGGACTGAGCTGCGCAATGTGGCGATGGCGCTTCTCCCAGGCTCCACGCGCCGTAGCCGTGAAGGAAGTTGGTTGTAGACCATTGCTTGAAGGCTGAAGGCAACGTAGAGAGGCAAGCTGCGCTCGCCAACAGAAACTCTCAGAAACGTCTCCCCCGAGCCTGACTTGAAAAACGCTCGAGAGATTTGACTCACTGTTGAAGCGCTGACAACGTCTCATCACGCTAGTTGAGGAAATTCCGGTGATGCAACAGGCTCAAGAAGACAGCCACTGCAACACTAGCTGACAAGAAACAGAGAAACTTCAAGACTGAGAAGCTGCGGTCTAAACACTTGCACCGCTGCAGCCGGGCATGTCGTGAGCACTGAGTGAGCATGCAGCATACACACAAAAGGTCGGAATCACACCAGTTGCGATTAGCAGTTTTTGGCGGGAGACAGTGGTTTTTGAATGGGTCGCCACGACTGACAAAATTTCGATTTGTGCATGCACAAATGCCACGTGTCGGGAAAATCGCTTTTGGTGCTCATTCAATTTGATATCTTTTGTTTTCAAGTTACTGAAGGGTACCTACAGTAGGAGGGGCGGTTATCTTACAATATGTCTCCTTATCGGTATAAAAATATGAGTGAGCGAGGTTAGATGCACGTTGCTCAGTTTTGCTTTTGGTATCACTGATTTATTTTGACCTTTAAAACCAATCTCTGCTTCTACTTGGCGAAGGAACAGTAACTATCCAAGTTGAGCAGTAGTAACAGTCCACGCCAAACAAAATAGGTACTTCAAGGTCGCTTGTGGGCTAGGGCATTGCCAGAGTTGTGTGTGATGAACTGGAATGCTTCTAAACTACTGTCAAGTAAAAATCGCGCTCATGCAAAGCGATTGAGAATGTCAGCCTCTTCATCAGTCTGCTATATGCATCTTCGCTACGGATTGTGCAGGTAAACGTTTTTTTTTTTTTTTTTTTTTGCGAAGCAGTATAATTGTTGGTTTGAGAGAAGAGGACTTCACAACCCTAGCACAGACAGGATAAAAACGGCAAACACGAGAAACGTCGAATAGAAATAGCCTACATCCGATGAGCCGCCGCTGGGATGAAGACACTGTACACTCATCGCTATCTGTGTTAGCGAGCAAAGGTTATAGACCCCAGCCAGAAATCCGATGAGTTTCATGGCACCGTCCTTCCGGAACAATGCGGACAATCGCGCTGTCATACTGTCAGTGAGTCAATAAACAAGCAAAGGAGAGGTCCTTGCTCTGAAAGCAAAGCATGTGTTCAGTCTTAAGTCGACACACATAGAGATTTTCACTCTTTATTCAAATCTTCGGACAATCTCAGATTCAAGATTGCGCTTTTGTCCTCAAGTATAATAAACGCTCATTGTCGTCCGTGAACTGTTTAGTTGGTCTGAAGCAACTTAGCAATTCCCTGGAAAAGGGAATCAGTCTTCGATCTCGAGTTCTTATGAGAAACACTCTCCACGATGCACCGTTGCAAGTCTTCAATGAGGCGATCACGAACACGGTTCATTTTCTTTCTCGCGTTTCCAATTTCGCCCTTGTTTGCGGCATTCGTACTCTTCATTCTCTTCACCACTTCGCTGACTGATCTCCTGAGCTTAACAATGCGACCCTTCGCAGCGCTGATGAGCTTAGTTTTCTGGGCTTTGTATTCATCAATTTTTCGCCGCTGGATGGTAGCATGTTTCTTCAAGGCAGTTACAAATTTGATCACCAGTTCGCGGTCCTTCTTAGCCTGTGTTGCACGAATACGCTGCAGCTCACTCTTGTTGTCTCGAGAAATTTGGGAAGACTTTTTCTGGCGAGCCTGTGCACAAACGTTGTTAGCATTGGGGGCGAAAGTCAGAATTCTGCAATGTTTGCTATGATAACGTGCAAATCGAAAGTCACCTCAAGGCCTCAACTATCACTTACTTCCACAACCTCGCGAACAGCGTGGAGCAACTTCACTCTTATCCTTTCATCTCTACTGGAAAGGCGTGATTCTGTGGGGTTACTTCCCGACGATTGGATCGATACAATAGTGCTTTCACCGTCACCATCATTTGAACTAGCGACTGTTCTCTTCCGAAACCCCGTGTGTTGTTTGAAGGCAATCGAGGAGGGTTTCACATTTTTTTGCATTGAGTTCCCGGGTTTTGGCTTGTCCAGTAGTGACATCATGGTGTCACCATTAGGTTGGGCAATGGTATCGACGCCTTGCGACCTGATAACAGCCTTGCTGTGCTTCTTCTCGGAGAGATCAGACGACTCCAAGCCTTCTCGGGAAGGAAGCACTTGGTTCTCTTCTTTGGCAATACCTTCATATCCGGACTGAGCGCAAACTTGCTCCCAACTCTTTCCCCCATCACCTTTCATGACGGCCCCTCGATCTAGAGAACTTTCTATTGATGAGGCGTGGCCATCAGGCACCTTCGTCACCATTCGGAGCTCTCCTTTCCCAGAAAAAAAGTCTGGCGCGTCCATATCATTCTCACTGTGTCGCAAGGAAGGGGTCAGCGATCTCTGCTGAACTTCATATTCCTCTGTTCCCTTTTCCGTCTCCTGCGGTAAATTCGGATACTTCTGCGCTGAAACGTTTTTCGCTGCGGTACCGGAAACTAGTGCTGGACCTTCTGGTGCTGAGCCTTGACTTCGAGGCACGACCTCTGCAGAAGACGTTTCTTTTTGATTCTCACGCGGGCTGCTTTGTTCGCTGTTACTTTGGGCATCGCACACTCTTTCGTCACTGTCACACTGATTATCGCTTGGGCTGTAGTCGTCGTTTTCCTCTTCGGCGCTGCCCTGGTCATCATCCCCATGCGAACTTGTCATTCCCAAAGCATTAGCCATATCGTATGCCACGGAAGTTTTTCTGCACGGGCGACGGGCGTCCGGATCCTCCAGCGAAGGTTCAACTTCAGACACTAGAGATAGGACTCGTTTAATTCTATTCTCGATTGCTTGTCCAAGGTATGCGCGATTTCCGGGACCAAATCGCACAGTTAGCTGTGTATCCTTCAGTTCCGAGTCTGAACGGAAAGTGAGACGAATTTCTTTGTGGCCAGCTAACCATTTCATGGTTGAGATGTTGTGGAGAGGGAAATAAGCTGGAGGCTGGTTCTTGGCGTGGACCACAATTGAGTTTTTGTTCCAGTCAACTGGTGCTCTCACGGAACCACCCTTTTTCATGCGGCCATTGACTTTACCCCTCATCTGAACCGTGCAATTGCACGTGAAGCACTTCAAAACGATATCAATATTGTCAAGCATCTTTGAAATGATCACTTCAGCTTGGGTATCAGCATCATCGGAGTTCACATCAAAATCTTTGAAGAGATGAAGCCCTGCTCCGTTGCCGAAGCGCGTGGCAGAAAGACCATTTTCGATCTTCCGCTGCATGTCTGCATGCAAGTTGTTGAGGTCCTTCGCATTGTCATACAAGAGTCGTAACACCAAAATGATACTTCTTTGAATGCTTAGTTCGGGAGCGGCGAAGAGAACGTTCATTAGAGTGGGAATTCGCTTTCCGAGAATCTTGCTCGCATCCGGGATAATTGAGGGCCTGCTGAAAAGGATATTGGACAACGCATAACTAGAGAGTCTGGCCATTTCATCCCTGGCGTATTCGGTGTCGTTCGAAGTAGCTCTTTCACGCTGAAAATTGGAACCGAAGAGGGTTGCTGCAGCAGCCCCAGCGAGGACACGAAGGTGTTTTTTGCTCTCGTCCCAGTCCACCTCGCAAAAGTCAATGCATAAGTCGTAAATCCGACATAAGACAAGAAGCGCCTTTGCACTTTTCTGTACTGCCGGTGTGATAGCCATGTTCATAAGCCCTGGCTTCGGGCTGGTTCTCTTTTCTGGGTCGGACAGACGTAGCACAAGAGAATAAAGCGATGGGAGAGAGGGAAATATGATCTCCGCTGCCATGCGCAGCCATTCATCATCCTGATTTGCCTTGCGGATAAACCTTAGCACGACCACGACCTCACCAAATCGTTGAGCACCAGCAGCTTTCGAGCAGAAATTTTTGCAGTTCTCAAGGACTTGCCCGGCGTCTTCGACCTGTTTCGAGATTGTTTTCTACCGTCACATTGGGTATCGAACACGAAAGAGTTTAATTTTAGTTGGCCAGATGCGTGAGAGAGAAGATCGTTCATCTAATGATGAAGGACAGGCATTTAAGAAATTTGCCTAGTTTTGAGCCCCTTACCTTTGAAAATGTAGAGAGCTGTTGTAAGGTCTCAGAAATGTTCGTGTTCGCCACAAGCCTCCTCTGTGTGGTACGAAGGAAACATGTTTCGAGAAAGAAACAGTATGCAAACGTTAGAATGAACCATGACGCTGGATTGGGCTCCTTGTGGATGGAAGTGTGTCCTTGTTATGCTCTTACTTACGCTGACTTCAAGTGCCTTCATTTTGATCGTCGGAGCAGAGACGAGGTGGCAATTCCAGTTGACGTTGAAACTCGATGTTCCTATCGAGAACACAGTCGTTGTTCTGCACGACTTAAAGATGGTCCAGTAACAAGATGGTAACGAACGTAATCACCTATGTTTGGCAACGGTATCCACTTATGATGATGTTGCGTTTGAGGCATCGCTATGCAAGACATTTCGTTTCGCACCTGAGACGAAATTGCCTACAGAATCGAAACCAAACCCGGCGAGTGCGTTCTAATTTGAACACGCCATGGTTAGCCTTGGAAGGTCAGGAGGGGGGTGTGAACCGTCCTTCAGCTGGAAGTCGGAGTTTTGCTTACTTTTGTCAAGAGTGCGAAGTCTCTCAATGCTTCAGCAACTCGTCTTAGGACTGTCAACGAGACCCGTCATGGGCGTGTATGGATAGCAATGAATGCCATTCGCGGGCATAGATAGTAGCAAGTGTCCTCTCCTTTGCCATTTAGAGCCAACGTAGCAGCATATGAAAACCATTGCCACTAGCGTAAGGAGGATGCATCCTCCGTATATAGGAGAAACGGTGGCTTTATTGATTGCGGAGGAGATGCAGCGAATATAGTGACGTCACCCCCAAGGATCCCTGGTGATCTATCCACTCATTCAAGGCCCATGCGCGCTTTCTTATCAAGGGGTTGTCTTGACACTTTCTAGTAGATGCCCGGAAGGATCTTGTTTGTGACTTTGTCGCAGTAAGTACTATATTCGGGATATGTCTCGAGCAAGTATTCCTCTTCAACGGAAATCTTTTTGGCGAGAAAGGCTGCGAAAGCTATAGTCAGGGCTAGTCGGGCAGGAGAGCCCGTGGAAACGGACCATCCAGCGCTAGCAAGAATAAGGCCAGAGTACATTGGATGGCGAACGTATTCATAAAGTCCATTGGTCTTAAGATCGCCGTTGGGCACGGGAGCAGGCCAGATAGAGAGTTGTTTCCGTCCAAGATCCCATAGGGATTTTCCTGAGATGAAAGCTCCCGCAAACAAGATCAATGGCCCGCAGAGGAAAGAAACGAGGCCATCAAGGCCGCCTGGGGAACGTAGGAGCAAAATGACGAAGACAAGCTGAATTCCTCCGTACAGCTCCCCACGGTTAAGCCAATCTCCAGCTAAAACGTTGTCGATGAGGCCTGTAGAAGTTTCCTTTGCGTTTTCGACAAGCTCGTCCGAATCGACTTCGGAGAATTGTTTCTGCAGATCTTCGATTCTTGATTGGGCAGAATCGACGAAGTTGGAGAAGACATCCGTATCGAAGGACGGCGCCTCAAAAGTAGTGTTTGGGCGTTCTTCGGGGGAAGAAGCGGAGGAAGAATCCGTAGCCGGAGTCTTCTCGTCCGTTTCGGCATTGGCGCGTAGAGTTGTGCGCACGCGGCGCGAGTGCGGGCTGACGCCTAGGGACAGTGGTCGGGCGGAAGATGTGAAACTTCCAGAGCGGAGCCGAGGGCCAGAGAGAAACGGGGTCGTGGAGAGGATGAATGCGGACGAAGCCATGGTTGGTGTGCGGTTGCTGTGGTGACTGCGGAGGACCATGGCGGGGTTCTTGGAGATGAGGGTGGATGCACTTTTGATGATGTCAGGGATTGGATCAGTGGTGGATTTGAAGGAAAGGCGACTCTGACCGCTGTGTCGGTACTGTGTACAACCAAAATCAATACGCTCTACAGTACCCTTGGTACTTTGCGGGTGATTGGGCAGCCCTCTGGGGTGCAACTTAGAGATGCACGAGGCACAGTGTGAAAATTGGTAAAAAATGAGGCCCAATTAGCTTGAAGACATGTGCATGTTCACTGACACGTGTTGTGATAGGGTTTTTATCTCGATCATTGATCCGCTACGGGGCTGTAGACGGCAACAACATAACTTTATCTAGAGTGGCCTTGTCTGAATGCAAAAACGAAATGTTGCGCCGTACCCATAGGTACTCTGTTGCCCCCCTTAAAGTCAGATACATGTAAAACTAAACACTGTGTTACGTCAGCGGCTACGCGTAACGCTTCTACTCTTCCTCAGAGGGGCTATGAGTTGCAAAGTGTAACAATGAAATTGCATGAATGACCAGAGGAGAGTGGCGGCAAACGTATACATAATGTACGTACGAGAATCAGACATAATCAATACCTACAACCCGCGATAAAGCAGATGTTTCACGTTGCCCGTGGTTGAAGCCAAACCATTTCACTTCAAAGGGTTAGAGTTGACGAACGTCGCATAACTGAGGGCCGTTCCGAGCGAAGAGTTGGTGGTGCCAGCACCGGAGCACCCTGACATTTGGCATGAATGGATTGGTTATAAAAAATTATTGGAAATGCTTTTCTCCCATTCAACCAATCCATACCAAATGTTATAAAAAATTATTGGAAATGCTTTCCTCCCATTCAACCAATCCATGCCAAATGACACTGAGGGTCACTCCGAACGAAGAGTTGGCGGTGTGAGACCTATAAAAGTCTTGAGAGAAGCTAAACAGTTTCCCTCTCACCGCCGGTATGTAGCACTGTGCGGTACGATGGGTACAGAATAATGCATGAGTAACTGTTCTCAGTTACTCAAGAGGCAGCCGTACTGTATATTGGAGTCCTGCTGCCTGCCTGAGCACACCGTTGTAAATTTGCTGTTACAGTACCCTTGGTATTGCAACACCAGTCTTTCAAAATATTCAGTTGATTGTTCAAACGCTGTCGCATCGTTATTTGAGTCGTTCACAACGCTATTTGAATTTACTGGAGCTGGCGTGTCTTTTCAGCTTGACAAGCAGCTAGAGCGGGAATACGTTTTTCACTTCAAACTCCACTTGGAAAAAAGCAAATTTGGACACTATGGTAGGTTCTACTGTCTCGTCATGTCAAAGTGAGCGAAGCCTCACATGCCTTCTGGGTTCTGTTTCGTTCGGTAAAGCGAAGTTCATGGAAGGTGGTTTAATTGCCTTCTACGCCGTATGTTCCTCAGGCGCTGTCGGATGCAACCGGGTGCTTGCTGCGTTGGCTTGTTGAGCATGAAGGGCAAAGTAGAGTGTGATGGTTAGGAGAGGAGCCAAAATGGCAGGAGATGTCTTCCTGCGAAAACCGTATGATACCGTTTGGAAGACTGTACAGTACATTGCGAGGCAAAGAGGAAGACGCGTGATAACGTGGAACGGTATGATCTCTAAGTCGACCTTTGACTTAATCCTCTCCAATGAGAAGCATTAAAAATCCAAGTGTCGCATAGCGGTTGGCGACGACAGTTCTTAGGGCTTCGGGGCTACAGTATGTGAGGCTCGAGACGTTGCTGGCAACAGCTGGCCCACAATCACAGTCTTCACAAGCATCCCAAAAAGCTGAAGCGAGGTCTCTTGCAAACCTTGCCGTCATGCAGCCCAGTTTCTACGCAGTCAGGGCACCTCAAGCCACCCCCTTCAAGCACATTCAGGGCAACATTCACGATCATCTCTTCGCTCGCTAACCTCACGGAAGGGGGATACCACGCTAACCCACACTTCCGTCGCTCCTCTTCAACGCTCTAACGTTCCCAGTCTGCCCTCCGACAGCAAGGTCCCCATCCCCAGTTTTAACCAACACAAAAAGGCCTTGCTCGCCCGCTTTTTTCACACAGGAAACGCTGGCGCTGTTCACCCCACCCACCCCGTCTCAACATGCCTGGCCTCCTTCTAACCGGGCCAGAGGATACAATCGATGTTCGCGTCGTCGCCAACGCAACCGACCATGAGGTTGTCTTCAAACTCAGAAAGCACACACATCTCCATCGCTTGATCGAAGCCTTTCATGCTCACCGTCGCCAACCTGCAGGCACTTATACCCTCTTTTACAACTCCCACGAAGTCAACCCCGCAGATACACCAGACTCCCTTCGAATGCAAGGGCTAGACTACCTTCAAGCCGTCCCGAACCCAGCCCTTGCGACTTTTTTGGAAGGTCGCCCAGGTGCCCATCCTGAAAGTTATTACGTGACGGTAAGAACTTTTGAGCTCTTCACACCCAATTTTTATACAACGCTTTTTTGAGGTTCTTCTGACATTAATTGCACGCGAGGTTATTTTTGCTGTATTTTTTAGGTCCTTGACACGGAATTCTCGAGGGCTGAATATTTGTTTCGGCTGCGGTGCACTACCAAAATGGCAAAGCTTATGGACACATACTGCGCGCGAATTGGAGCGTTACCTCAGGAACGCAGCTTCTACTATGACACAGAAGCGATCCATCCAGATGATACTGCGGAGTCTTTGGGCATGAATCGACCAGGATTTGCATACCTTGTCATTAGTACCCCGTCTGTGGACTCGTTACCGCTTGACTCCATCGAGGAGAAGTAGCAGCAATTGAAGGTATCCCTTCGATGTTGGCCCGGGCACGTTGGCCAACTTGCACCAATGCCTTCCGTCTCCTTTTGCGAGCTGTTGATATATCCTGCACTTCAACTTGTACAGTGTGGAAGCGACGCGCTTAGAATTTCCGTGAGGACAGCACGTGATGTTTACTTCGTCTCACAACATTTCATTCGCAGAGTCTGGATTGTGTCGTTTGGGCCCCTGTGGTTCATAGATCATCGCAATACACCCAGCTTCGCCATCCGTGTTTGTATTACAATCGCTCTGTCAGAGATTTTCTCTAACATTCGTGTGGCGCGTCTCACCAGAAACGCACAAATTTTCTTTGCGTGGCTTATTAGCGTGTAGATTTTGTACAATAAAACACAAGCAATAATCGTCAATAGAGAACATTAACTTCTTACTCTGATTGATACCCCGTTTTAAGTTGGGAGAAGGATACCTTTTTTCATGTTCTCTTTTGCGTCAACATAAACATTGGTGACAGCATCCGCAGCTCTTCTGCGGTAGCCGTTGAATTCGTTGCCAGTGCTCCGTGTGCGGTTAAAAGAAGACAGGACACTCGTCACGAACGCGACGCGGGGCACGTTGATACTGCCAGAGACAGACCTTCTAACTAGAGAGGGTGCACAAAACTCTTGTACCATCATTAAAATTTTAGCAGCATACCTCCAAGCCGGTGCAATATGTGCCTCTCGCCGACTTGCAACAAATAGAGTCCGCAAGCGCACTCTTTTGGCAGGTAGGTCCAGCAGTAATTTGCCCTTCAGCGGCAGATTTATTTTCTGTGATCGTGATTGTCACTATGTAGAGACAGCCCCATAGAACCGCACTCTTAATTAATTCCCAACGTCGCAGGCCAATCTTCCAAAATTCCGAGACTCGCACTGTATTCGAGCCAATTGAAAACAAGACGTCCCACAGCTCGCCATCAAAACTTTCGGCCTCCTCAGCGGCAAACAGTTTCGCTCTCCGCACTTGGACCTACGCATGTCAGGGTTTCAGGCCCAGTCTCGCTTTTCAACCAGGGCACCTGGCAACTACATCAACAACACGAAGGGCAAGAAAAAAATAAACTGGCCCTTCCTATGATCGGCCTCCCCCCACCGCCGTTCACCATAGACAAATGCCTCAAACATGTCGTATCAATGCGCGCTGCTACCGTGGGACATGCGTAAAGCAGTTCTGACGTAATCAAAGCACACATCAAGTCGAGAGCGAGACGGGCACTTCTACACCGCGAGCCTACGCTCCCTCAACACGCCAAGACCCAAAATCCCATCTCCACACCTTGCCCACCATTTTCTGCCGCACCTTACCACACCCCCTCCCCCTTTCTGCTTTCCCTCTCTACAAATCAAGTGGCACCTCCCAATGCCCGACGCCATCAGCGTCTCGGTAACCGACGAGACGCCCGTCCCGCAAGCGCCGGACCCGCCGTGCTCGTCCCCCTCGCGCTGGGCAAGCGGCGAGGTGTGCGTCTCACGCAGCGAGGAGGCCGGCTACCCCGCGAGCCCTTCCGCGCGTGCGCGCTTGGAGCGGGGGCGGCCAGCACACGAGCTCTTGCCGGACCGGCCCGCGGGTGGAGGCGCGACTTCCCCCCTCCGGATGCGGCAAGC